TATTTATGCCTGGGACAGAAGGGCGAGGAAGATGGTGAACACAGAGATATACTCGAGGTGTGTTGCTTCATTCTCAAGTTAGTTGGGTTTTGTAATTATTATTTTTCTCGCAAGTTTTGTCACGCTCCACCGTCCTTGTGTATTCTTGTGATTATGAGGCTTATATTTTGGGGCTTGCTTTGAGAACACATTTAATTAGTTAGATAATGTCCCATCACATAGAAAATTCTTGATACAATTAAACATTCCGTTTTTGAAATGCAAGTTTTGTTTTTTATTTCTGGCCTTGCATGTTTGCACTTGCACTTCATCCATCCATAATCAATCAATTTTATGTCTTCATGTTTCCAAACGAAGTTTTGAGAAAGGTGGACATATAGAACAAATATATATGGCCCACACCTGGCTTTGGTTACGTTTATATTTTTGTTTTCAATTGTTACCTTCAGTCCTTGGTATAAGAATTAATTAGGAAGTTTAATTTAGTCATAATAAACAGAAGATTTTGATTCACCTGCCTCTCAAATTTATATATTTTTTTTTCAAAACATTCTTATTGATTGTAAGAGTATTCCCATCAATGGGTAGTTTCAATTCAGACAATTTAAAAAAATCAGCATATTAAATAGCTAACTTAATTAATTTTTTTAGTACTTTGCTTGGTGTTTATGAGTTATCGTCAAACACAAACCATCCAGATATTCATAGCAAAGATGCTGACCATGCAATGGGATTGATTTTTCGACCCACCTTTCACACGAGCAGCATATAAGTGGCTTCTTTGAAAAGACTTTTCGGGGCTCTGGCGCTGGAAATTTAACCAAAAAAAAGATTTGAATGATGTGATATATGTTATGGATCGATGCTTGGGAGATTTGTTAATTAATTAATTATTACCAAATGATTATGTTAGTTAAGCAGAGATGGCTCCACAAGTTGCGAGTCTAAGGGAAGGCAAGCCATGCAAGACTGTCCACGATACATATTGATGTGTTTGAAGCTCGGTGGCGTTGGATTTTTTTAATGAAGGTGGGAAATTTTCGGTGGAATCTGTTTCTGGAAAAGTACAGCCCGTGACTCCATAATTAATCTTTAATTTGTATTAGAGCCTAGAAGACTTCTTAATGATAATCATTGAGTGCACGTATAAATTTCTATTCCCTCCGTTTTATATTATCTGTCACAATAATACTGTTTTCCATCATCCTTATCGATTTTAGATACCAGAAATGCAATAAATTAGGAATAACATTTACTTAAAGAGGATTAAGAGAATTTTAGAAAAGTAGCAGATTAATTTTACAAAATCTAATGTCATTTAATAATTTTCTTTGTTCTGTCGTGACAACCTCATGTTAAGAGAAGTTAATTTTTAATGTGCGCTAATTCTACAATCTGTTAAAGTTATCAAATACTACACTTAATCCTTAATATAAGAGTTAATTGATTAATTTAAATAGATTAAAAAAATTCATTAAGTTAGATATTTGCAATAAATAAGTGTTATTTTTCTAAAATACCCTTGTTAATAATATATATAAGCTAGAATTACTATTTTGATAGAATATTTAACATACACAATTACTATAAAGACTATTTTAAAAATAAATAAATAAATATAAGAGATAAAGTGGATTGGAGTCTTATATTTAGAATTAATTTAAATGTCAAATAAGTTCTTATATTAAGAATCAGAAGTAGTACACGTTAAGTATCATAGATATTTCTCTTCAGGAATACAGAGTCATTCTCTTTAAAAAATTTCAGTCCTGAGTTATCAGTAGCTAGCTAATGTATTTATACGCGTAATGGCATTTAATTAAAAACCCAAGGGAGAAATAGATCCTTGATTTTTAGATGGCATACATCTAGATCTCTATTTTTAATGACCTGATCTATGAAATTAATAAATAAGCTTAAGGAAAACAATGTTGGCAAGTGGTATGCTATAGGACAATTTGTATAGCTAGCGAGACGGAGATTCCAGCCTTTCACAAAGTAAGAACATGGCAAGACACTTGGACCACTTTTAATTTGTGACGTTGTATATAATTAATTACCCTCATCGTACATGACTCCAGTAATTGAGCCAAAGAATCTTCTCTTGTTTTGTTCTCTGAGTTATTGAAATAATTGATTATGGAGTGATTAGCCAAAAAAAACATAACTAATCGAGATGACGAGATCCATTATGTCTCATAACTGATTAAGTAGCACATCAAATCAATGGAGAGGAAGAAAATCTGGTGCAACTAATGTCAAAGGCTTTTAATTAATTAGTTTTGTGGTTTGTAGGCTCTTTAGGCCTCTCTGGCTTTATTTTCAACGCTGCAGATACGTGACGCATAAAGGGGAAAAATTATCCAGATATAGGAGTATTTATTTAATTATGGATTCCACCTGTACATAATTACAATGACTTTGGTAATTAATCGCTTTTGAAATTGTATAACAACTGCTCCGTCAAATGTTTCAACTTTTTCGTTACCAGTAAAATAAAATATTCCATACCACTGTCTCGTGGCAGCGGAAACTGGAGACACGGGAAATATTTTTTTACTACTGGCATCTGAGTAATAATTATTATTTTAAAAATTCAGATGATGTCATTTTTTAAATGAAATAAGATTTCAGGCATTTTTCATGCATGCCCAATACAATCTTGTGTTCCATGATATTAGGACAAGGAAAACGAAACGGATCTTGTCAATTAGATTAAAGACCACTCCTACTAGTTCTTATATTAAAAATTAGAGGTAGTAATTTTTATGTGATAACATGGTTCATATATACTCAGTTTGGTTTGTGAGTGAATTCAATTCTTATATATGAAGACTTTACAATAAACAAGATTTTATAATTAGGACCGGAGTTAGTATTAAGAACCGTGAATTATATTAATTATTTTAGTTGTCATATTAATGCCCGGGCACACATGCTTTAGCTTAAGACTAAACTCTCTCTCTCTCTCTCTCTCCGAGTTTGACTTTCACTGTGCGTGGCAACTCGTGCTAAAGAACCCCTACTAGCAAACATTTTTAAAAGTTATTTCATTTAATTGAAGCCAAGTTTCACGACCATATGTTTGGGGTTTTTACTTGTGGCACGCCTAACAAATTCTTAAAATTTTGTGCAATAAAATAAATGATAATGACGACATCATCACACAAAAATTAGAAGTAGCCATGGATTTACGTTTGCACCCGCAAAATTATGCACTTACATTCTAGCAATATAATGCTTGCCTGGTTGCCTCCTCACGGGGCGTATTATTGTCTGTCTCGTCATCCACTGTAAACGGCACTTTTCCGAGCTTAGTCAGGAATGGTTGATCAATTTTAGGATAACCATGGCCATTACAAGATCACAGCAACTAATTAATATGAGCTTTTTCATCAGCAAAGACTAAAACGACTCAAAGGATTTAGGTAACAAAAGTGTGTGTGTGTGTGTGTGTATAGCATCAGCAGCTAGTATGGATCTACGAATTTGGCATGATTTGATCCAAATTTCTGGTGGACCAGGCTCAATTACTTTAAAAAAGCCTGAGATGATAACTTACAGGGGAGGAAGAAGAGTGGTAGATATTTCATATTTGTGCGACTGTTCTGTATCCGGACGACGAGGGCGCACTGTGAGTCATTGATGAAATGAACGGCCAAGATTGAAATACTGCCCAGCCAGATGCAAAAACCCAACTAGAATTTATCGGTTTTGTTTACCAAACGGAAATCATCAATTTGATTGTCGATTCTTTATTAGGACATAATTTTTTTAAATCTAAAAATCTGCTATTCCACATCTCGTGCAACAAATTAAACTATAAGTTTTATACATGGTCAAAAATATAAAATTATATGAAAAATATTTTTCTGCTTATTATCTGTGTGCTTATGCACATGTTTTTATTCTGACCACAATTTTTTCAATGTACTCATCCGCTAAAGGTAATTAAAAAATTTCAAAATCATAGCAAATTGTGAAAAATGATTGACACTGAAAACTTTAGTTTTGTTTAATTACATGGCAAGGTCTATACATTGTTGTTGGGGGAAGGTATCAAATATAAATAATTGAATTTCAACTTTGCGGAGAGTTAAAAAAAAAAAAAAAACTCATGTGCATGGGAGAGAACCACTCATCAGTTTTTCTTCTTCTTCGTCTCAACACTTGCATTAATTCAATTGATCAATGCTTGTGTGTAACCCGAAGGATATGAAATACTCCTTCGGTCCTTAATATAAGACTCAATTCTTGAGTTAGTTTTGGTTCTAAATATAAGACCCATTTATCATATTTATCAATTTTCTCTTAATTACCCCTATAAATACTCCTTCAAGTATAATCAAGTAGAAGAGGGAGATGAGGTATTATAAAAAATGATTATGGTGTTTTAGGAAAAATGTGTCACTTTTTTTATAATTAACTAACTTACCTAACTTCCTTAATCTAATCAAATTATTTAAATGGATCTTATATTAAGGACTGGAGGAGTACTAAATAGTTGTACAAAAAGAGATAGGATGGATTGAAAAATATAATACATATAAACGAAGTCTTATAATTAGGATATGAGGTAATAACATTAATTGTTAAATAGAGCATAGGTTATTTATGAATAATTAAGGATATTAATTACCAGAGAGTGGGTATGCCCTGGGGTAAATCAAACAACTATATGTACGTCCAGAGGATGCTGCATGATTGTGTCGGGACGTACGGTTCCTGTAACAAAGGAGGTTTCAGTTTCCCCAAGTCCTAACCAGAACTTGCTTTATTTTTTTAACCTCTGCGTTTATTTATTAATTAATGCTTAATCCCATTTTTTAAATCAACCCTTAGAATCTACAATCACAAACTTCCAAAACCTTTCCCAAAATCACACCTCTCTGCCAGCTAACCTCCTCGCTTCACACATGCTTGCTTACATCCTTCGTTGCCTCTCTTCATGTCAATCTGATCACATCCACCACTATATAAATCGCCCTTCTCTTCTCATACCTCTCATCTCTCCCAAGCTCCAATAGTTATAAACTTATAACTACGACTTGAAGAGACAGAGAAAAAAAGCTACTAGCTTCCTCGCTAGGGTTTCGAGATCATCCATGGCTTCCAAACCTTGCTCCTCCCTCGCTCTTTTCCTCGTCATCAACCTTCTCTTCTTTTCCATGGTCTCTGCGTGCTATCACTGTCCCGGTGGTTCAAACCCAAGGCCCAGGCCGAGACCTATCCCCAACCCCTTCAACCCCACCCCCTCCCCGGGAAGCGGAACCGGAACAGGAACAGGAACAGGAACCGGAACCGGAACCGGAACCGGAACAGGAACTGGAACTTGCCCCAGGGACGCACTGAAACTAGGGGTATGTGCCAATGTGCTCAACGGTTTGTTGAACGTGACGCTTGGTCAGCCGCCGGTGACGCCATGCTGCACCCTCATCCAAGGGCTCGCCGACCTTGAGGCCGCCGTCTGCCTCTGCACCGCCCTACGAGCTAACATTCTGGGTATCAACCTCAACATTCCGATCTCTCTCAGCTTGCTTCTCAACGTTTGCTCTAGGCAAGTCCCTCGTAACTTCCAATGCGCTTGATGATCATCCCAACAGCTATAAGTACGTACGTCTACGTACACCGTATTTCATCGGCGACCTTCTTATTATTCTGTTACTCCATTTGTTTCAACTTCTACAAAAATTAAATTCTAGTATCATGTGTGTGTGATTTATTATTGTGTACTTTTATGATTAATTGGAGGCTAGCTAGTAGCTGCATGCCTAGTTATCCTTTATTATTATCTATCTACAGTTAGTGCTTGTTTTTATTCGTGCATGGAGTCAAAGTGAATAAGTTTCCCCGTGTTTACTTGCCAAGTAAATTGTAAGGGGAACCCCAAAAATTAATCACAGTGTTCTTCATTATAAAGAAATGGTTCGAATCCTTCTTTTCCGTTGTCTCCATCTCTAGCTCTGTTCACATGTAGCAAGCCCCTTTTGCCTCTCTTCTCTTCACACAAAAAGGAGGGAAGCATAAATCAGGAAAAAGGAAAAACAATGGAAGCAGAAAATAAAGAGCTGGATTCAGAAACTTTGTCATAGACCGTAACTCGCAACATTCTTGATTATTTAATTCATAATTTTACAAACAATTGACGAAGTAAAATGTCTTCGCGTTACTTTCCAGTTTCCAATTGCATAAACACTTTTTTCTGGTTAAAAAAAAATTAATAACAACCAAGACAATAATGGAAGCCAGGGCTAACCATCTGATCAATAGGATGGATTGATATTTGGTGGGGTGAATTCAAGAGAATGATTGAAACCTGCCGTTTGGTGATCTAGAATGTCGTTTTCTTGTTGGAGTTACTCAAGGAATTAGAAGCCAAACAACTTTTTCCCTTTCTCTGTTGAATGGACTATTGGCTTCATTTAATTTCATAGCAAGCAATACTGACAATTTACAATGGTGAAAATGACCCCTTCGCCACCAGAAAAAGCACTATTTAACCCGTGACAGGGAAGGTGGTCAAACATATTCCTCATTCAAGAAAAAGGATGCTCATTTGAAAGACTTAAGCAAAAAGTGAAGATTCCATACCTTTGGAGATCTATTTCACTGTATTCGAACTTAATTGTGCAAAGAATTCACAGTGGGATCATGTGAAGTTTGAAATCTTTTGTTGGTTGTCGAAATCACGAGTTTAGTTATGGTAGGTTCATTATAAACTAGGCTACTGTCTCTCTGTGTGTGTAGCTCGAGGAAATGAATTTTAAGTTCTGACCACTTTGGTGCAGAAAAAGCTTTGAAATGAATAAATGCAATATGCAAGATCTTGAAAATCCTTGTATCTATTTTAAATATATTAATAAAATATTGAGAGCGTGCTGAATGTGGAAACTCAAATCCCTAAATCTACGCATGAGTTAGGGATATATTAAGAAAATGATCAAAAGCACAATCATATTGTTCCAGTATCATTTTATTTAATGGCTGCTGATGAGCATAGCGGGCAAGTAAATAAGTTCTGAATATACATTTTGATCTTGCTTGTAATCGGAATCTTCATACAATTAACGGGGGAAAAGGAAAAAGAGCTACAGAAGTGGAAATATATATATTTATAGATATAGAAGATTCATGTTGCGGGAGGGATAATGAGAATTGAAGTTGAGCATATCGTAAAAAACACGGTTCTGCATATATAATAGAATGATTCTGAAAAGTAATTTATATGGCATTTTATTAAATGGTTCCCATCACGACCCGTGAATCTTGTTTGGTCGTATCCGACAACAAAAGCAAGCATATGTTATAAATTTATGTTTGACTTGGAGACAACAAATAAGGATCCTTGCTTTTATTTGACTGGGGAGTTGAGAGAATAGCAACCTTTATATTTCTTTTTCTCTTTAATTAGAGGGACATGCATTAATAGTTTGAAATTACGAATAAAATTGGACCTGTAATTTTCCACTTACAAGGAGTCTTTGTACCACTAGATTGTAAGTCCATTATATTGACAACCCTTTATTTCTATCTGCAATGTTAAGACATGGTATCTATCTTATTTTTTGAAGTACTATCTCCAATTCTTAATATAAGAGTTAGTTTGACTTTTAATTTAATATTAAATATAAGACCCTAATCTGCTTTTTTCTTGGTCCTAAATATAAAACTCCAATCCACTTTGTCTTTTATATTTATCCATTTTATTTAAAGTAGTCCTTATAGTAGTTGTACATATTAAATATTCGATCAAATGGTAGTTCTAGCTAATATACATGATTAGCAAGGGTATCCTGGGGAAGATAACATCTATTTATTATAAATAACTAGCTTAACAAACTTCATTAATCTATTTAAATTAGTCAACTAGTTCTTGTATTAAGGATAAAAGCAGTAAATAAGAAAGGTATAATGGAATTCGACAATCACTGGATTATTATTCAATGACACTCGCAGTAAAGTTGTGGGGCCACCAGGACCGTGTGGTAAGGTGGAAGGGGTTCAGTAAATTAAGCAGGACCACACCATGAAGCACATTTGTTATGGATCAATCGGTACGCTTAACTGCAGAATCATCCACATGAATTGAAGAATAAATATAGGTGATTTAATTTTGAAGGCAGTTTTAAGAGCTTGCATCCGAGAGAGAGAGAGAGAGAGAAGGGTTTGGAGTTTTGTGGGGATGGTTTTGTAACTTGAAGAGCAAACCGTGACTGGCTCAGTACAACTACAATCCGTGAATGAGTTTTAATTAAATTTTAAGATTTCTGAAGCCAGTCATTGTGCATCTGCCATTCATTTCTGTTTGGCATGCAGGAACATTACAGTCTGAAGAGCTTAAATAAGAAGTCATTGTTGAAAATAGGAAAATGGTATGCTTGCGGAGAATAACTCGTTATCCTCCAACCAAAAGAGGTAGATAATAAGAACACACATTATAACCATTTGGCAGCTCCGCGTTTTTCAACTCCAATCTCCACTTATTAATAGTAATCTCTTATGCCCCTTAAACTCCAGGAACACGAACCATGCTTAATATGTCAAGCATAAATTACATATTCTAGATGCATCATATATGATATACACAAGTTCAAGCATAGTCCTAAAACACATAATACCATTACAGTAATAGTAGCTTAATTTGATAGAAACACAGACCAAAATGATGGATTAATGAAAGACGAGCATTTTGATGATGGCAAGCACAGGTGGCAGCCTCATCAGTCATCACCCTCGTTGCATCGCCCTTAATAGTTTTCCCTGTAATATTGCACACGGCATTCGACTCCACTTTCCGCGGTCCATTGCCTACTCATTTGCCTCCCATTAAAATTAATTACCCTCCTTATTTCTGCATTTCCAAGACATAAAAAATATAAGAACCCATGTTATTGTGCAAATACACAAGCCACTCCAGTTATTTTATACTCCTCTAGTCCCATTTATAAAGCAGAGAGAAACGATTTTTTTAAGTCTTATTTATAAGTCACTTCATCAAATTTTTAGTGTAAATATACTATTTTATCCTTCATTTATTATAGTATAGATAGTTATCTTTTTTAAAAGATGTATACATTAAATACGATTAAAGTTAAAAAATTGTTATATTTTAATAAAGATTTAATGCATTTTAATGTTTTTCTTGCTCTGTGTGAAATATGCTGAAAATACTTTATAAATAGAACTAAATGAGTAGTTTTGATTGTCGTCAGGTATGTAACATATTTCTGGTCAAAAAAAGGTATGTAACATATAATTAAGCAGATTCGAGGGGTTGTATTCGTCATTCTCTTCTTTGATTGTGCAAATTAAATTGAATACTTTAGTGATATTAATAACTAAGCACGGGCAAGAAGATCCTGTTTAATTTAATGTCAAACAAAGCGCTCCACATTGCCATTCGTAATTCTCAGCTATTAATTTGAACGATTTATATTTCTCGTTTTTCTAACCACCTTGATGTGTGCAATAGTAGAAAATGGGCATTGTAGTTGCAGCCTTGCGGGACGACACGTATAGCTGGTGACGACTCCCATATAAAGAAACCGCTATTTTCTCTATATTCGATGAGATCAAATTCCAGCTTTGCAACATTTTCACGGTGAATTTTATTAAGGAGAGCTCACGAAATTTGGATTGTATTTATTAAATAAACATCAATATATATTAACATATGCTTAACCCCAGGACACACACATATATACATATATATGTTTAACAAGGGGCAATCTTAATTAAGCATAATCCTGCTTTAACGTCGGGACATGCACGAGCCCAAAAGCAAAAGCTTTTGAAATTAATTTTCCTTTCCCTTTTTGCATTTAGATTACCGAAATCCAGAGTGCACAGAAATTGACCCATGTGATAAAGTTCATTCCTCACAATATACCACCAGAAGTGAAGTTCGAGAATGAAGATAAGCATGAGACTGATTTAAAAAGAAATAAAACAGATGCGACTCTTCCATTCCAACAGTTGATCACGGCCAGTCTTCACCATTCATTATTTTTAACAAGATAGGAACACAAATAAACACAAGAACTTATATATCGGACAGCCATTGCTCATTCCATTATTTCATTTGAATCCTATGGTTCATCACCGAGCTCCACTCGCAGATTGTCGTATGGATACACTTTAGGTGTCTAGTCAAAAGAAAATAACAGATAAATCTATCAGTATATAATACATCAAGTATATGCCAAAGAAAAAATAACAAAGCGGAAACTTCAAAACCAAAGAAAATATCAAAATATAATGACTCGAGTGGGGAACATGGAGATCATATAGACCAGGCTTTGTCATAAGATCATGTAAGAAAAATGATGATGATGAATTGATGATTCAATCAATGAGCAAGGCTTGATACTACACAGAGCTTGATGATGACTCAATCAATGAACAAGACATGATACTACGCATAGCTTCACAAAATTTAAAAAGGAGCAGTGCCATGTATGATGCTTGTGAGTTGCCCTTTTATCATATCACAAAGCCCCTATTTGTTTTAGACTTATTACCTATCTTACCATTTTGAACACTGATATCATATGCATCGTGACACTTTTGAGTTGAAATTATCATATTACAATGCCCATATTCTTTCTACAGCTGCAAGTGCCCTATGTCATCACACCTTTGAAGATAAAGGACAATGGCTCCAATCTACTATCTACTATAAGATAACTTTTTGTAAGAAGCCAATTTGACTAATTTGGCTCATAAATAATATTATGATTTGAGATATTTGACCTGCATTGCGTTGTGTATTTTGTCATAGCAGAATAATTTAATGGGCGTGTAATTTTTTAAACTTAGGCTGGTTTTATTAAAGGGATCACACGTTCAAATCAGCCACCCTGTTATTCCGGTAAGGCACTTCCATAACCGAAAAGAAACCTTGTACAACTCAGCAAGATCAACCTAAAGAAAACCTTACACGACCCCAGCATTTAATTTCATTTCCGACCCATTTACATTATTAAGGAAGTAAAGAAAATTTTCACCGTTAGGCCTAAGAACGATGTGGTGACACGGACCCACCAAAAAAAAAAAAAAAAAACTTTCACAACCTTAAGAAGTATTTGATCACCAGGATGATTTACTGTTATAAACATTTCAGGCCTTGATGTAATAAAATGCTTGAGTTATTTGCGATTGCAAATATACATGAAGCTAGATATCTAACAAACACATAAATCAAGTAGAGTTTCAGGTTAGACTCTATTGCTTTAAGTTCAAGGAGAGATATAAGGAAAGCAGTATTCCTGAAGCATCGGACTGCATAACAGCTCAAGGTACATTACCAAAGCACGCCGCATGGTGGCAAATTAACATCCTATTCAACTTAAAACTATTTGTTTCATCATGATACACATCCCTCTGTTAATATAGACTCAAATTCATAGCAACTTACACTATTTGCAAGCCATGAACAATGACTAATTCTTTAGATTTTGTGCAAAACATATGGAAAAACATGTCTAGCAAATACCAATAACAATAAATTATCATAGACTTGAGCTTAGCACACAACCTATATCACATAGACATAAGAAAGTTAACAACAATGATCTACTATGTGGGATCAAGATATAAGAAGGCTCAAACAATAAAAATTAGAAAGAAATTGAAATTGTTTTGTGCACTTCTCTTCTCTCTCCAGTGAATGATTACCGGCCATTGCCAATGATATACTATGCAGACATACACTATAGGAAAAGCTGAGAGCCCAAAAATTCCAGTACATCAATTTCATTACAAGAATTTATGACAGCACAACCAACCATAAAAATAAATTCCAAATCTACCATCAAGCAGAAATGTAAGACATGCAGTTGGAATAAATTAAAATATAAGCATTAGGACTTACAAAAGGTATCTTGGAGGCCTTGTCATTCAACACGGCCAATAGTCCCAGAGAGGCGAAAAATCCCAAACCCCCACATAGCCAGGCCAACGCTTCATACTGATTTCAAAATTTAGACAGAATAAAGAAATGATTCGTACTGATTTCAAAATTGAAAAAGATGAAAGTAGAGATTATTTAGCTCTAAATAACTTAAAAAAATAAGAATAAGGAAGGAAAGCACTTCTACTGCTACACTGTCTTACCTTTCCGACGGTATCTGCAATGCGATCAATACATGGTTCGGGAAAAGGAGTCCCGTTGTCCCACACCAACTCGTCGTTTACAGGAACCTGAAAAGCCAAATAAAAAAGTAGCAAATTTCAGGAAATCCACATGACATTGTTTCAGATATTCCAGAATCAGCTATGAACATGGAGTTTAGGTTAAGGGAATTATACGAACAGGTTTGTCGGGCACAATATGCTTGCCGACCGGGAGGCCCATCCCGGAACGAAGGCGGAGAGAAGAAATTGCAGATCGGCCTACGACCCCATTTCCGCCCAAGATCCTCGACGCTGCGCTTGTTAATCTTCCTGCCATGATTTCTCCCCAGAACCTCGCTGCGAAGTGCCAAGGAACACAAAGGCACTGAAAAGTGAAAATCAACGCCCACTCGCCGCGATGGCACACGTACGACGTCGTTTCACAATACCACCCTCTGTGCTTTTCGATTTTTTAATTTGGGCTCTTTCTCCAATTCGGGTTGGCCCTTTTCCCAGCCCCTTCTATTATTCTATGTTCGGACTACTTATCGTCCAAGAAGTTCGGGAAAATGACCTTCAACTCACAACATATCGAATTAATGGTAATTGTTTTTTAAACGAATTTAAGTTATAAGCATCAATTCAAGCTAAAAGTTACATTTTAAATTTCAATATTTTATTAGAATTCTTAAATTTTACATTAACATTAATAACTCTTTTTTTGTTTTGAAAATTTTGTTATTAATTCACTCTTTTAAGACTCAACTATCATTCTCCCAAAAAATTAACCTTCGAATGGGTTATGAAGCTGGAGGCCACATTAGAGGATATATGCCCATGCAAATTTAAAAGTTTTTTAATTTAAAATGTTCGATCTATAATTTCTTAAATAAAAAAATTACTCCCTCCGTTCCTTATTATAAGAGATGAATAACCGAATTACGTTGATAAAAAAACAGTTAAAATTAGTTAAGAACAATCAAGGTGTGAAAAGTATAATTTTTTTTCCAAAAATGCCCTTATTAATAAGAAGAGAGAGTATGAGAGAGAAAAATTAAATTATTAAAAGAGAGAGAAGTGGGAGGAAGAGAGAGTGTGAGTTGGAGACAATAAATATGGGTAAAATAGGAAATCAACACAAAAAAGTAGAGATAACTTTTAAGTGTCTCTTATATTTATATATAGGAACATGCCATAAACATCAAATGTCTCTTATAATAAGAAACGGAGGGAGTATTTTGACAAAAAAATAAAATTTATTTTAGATTCCCAGGTCAAAATTGTTTATTTAGAATTCTACATCTGTTAAAATAAGAGTGCAGGAAGGATTGAAATAATCTCCATAGGAAACGTGCAATATCTTTTATTTATTTAATTATTCATTTAGTCTAACAGTACATATAATTCATTTAATTACGTCCATAAAGAAATATTACTATGTTGTTTTCTTTTGGCAAAAACACAGGTCCATTTTATTAATCACCAAAAAAATTAAATACACACAAATAGTCCAAGCCGAAAGAACTTTGGGGAAGGGGGGAAAAAAAGTCTACTACGATATTGTTTTGAAAAGCATTTCAGTGATAATAATAAGGGAAAATTACGTACAGGTCCCACAGAAGGTAATTTATTACTCTGAGGTCTCACGAAATGTCAAAATCATTGACAGGTCCCAAGGGACCTCAGAGTAATATTTTCGATTTGTAAAATGACATTACTGCCTCTCATATTCCAGATTCACATTTGCTCTGTCATTGCGATTTACAACCTCAGCAACGACTATTAACAACCCAATGAGAGGGCATTAACAACCTAAGCAGTATCCGTTAACAACTTACTTTATAGAATCATATAACCTCCATATAAGTGTAAATTATAACCAAATAGTATAATACAACAACTTTAACACTAAAATGGGAAGCTTTTTGATATCATTAAGAATTTTAACTACACCCAATAGGATTATAGCAAAATTTTAATGCGAAGATCCATTTACAACCTCAATGGTGAGTATTAATAACCCAAAGAGAACTGTTGACAATCTAGGCAGTATCTGTTAACAACTGACTTTATAGGATAATATAACCTCTAACAACTATATAAGATTAACTTTAAGACTATTTAGTTATAATTTAGTTAGTTATAGTTAGAAGTTATATTATCCGATAAAGTTAGTTGTTAACAGACACTGCTAAGGTTGTTAACAGTTCTCCTTAGGTTATTAATACTTACTGTTGAGATTGTAAATGGATTTTCGCATTAAAATGTTGCTATAATCCTATTGGGTTTAGTTAAAATTCTTAATGATATCAAAAAGCTTCCCATTTTAGTGTTAAAGTTGTTGTATTATACTATTTGGTTATAATTTACTCTTATGCGGAGGTTATATAATTCTATAAATTAAGTTGTTAATGGATACTGCTTAGGTTATTAATGCCCTCTCATTTGGTTGTTAATAGTCGCTGTTGAGGTTATAAATGGATCTTCGCATTAAAATATTACTATAATCCTATTGGATTTAGTTAAAATTCTTAATGATATCAAAAAGCTTCCCATTTTAGTGTTAAAGTTGTTGTATTATACTATTTGGTTATAATTTACTCTTATACAGAGGTTATATAATTCTATAAAGTAAGTTGTTAACAGATACTGCTTAGGTTGTTAATGCCCTCTCATTGGGTTGTTAATAGTCGCTGTTGAGGTTGTAAATAGATCTTTGCATTAAAATATTACTATAATCCTATTGGATCTAGTTAAAATTCTTAATGATATCAAAAAGCTTCCCATTTTAATGTTAAAGTTGTTGTATTATACTATTGGTTATAATTTACTATTATGTGGAGGTTATATGATTCTATAAAGTAAGTTGTTAAAGGATACTCCTAGGGTTGTTAACGCCCTCTCATTGGGTTGTTAATAGTCGCTGCTGAGGTTGTAAATGGATCTTCGCATTAAAATGTTGCTATAATCCTATTGGGTGTAGTTAAAATTCTTAATGATATCAAAAAGCTTCCCATTTTAGTGTTAAAGTTGTTATATTATACTATTTGGTTATAATTTACACTTATATGGAGGTTATATGATTCTATAAAGTAAGTTGTTAACGGATACTGCTTAGGTTGTTAATGCCCTCTCATTGGGTTGTTAATAGTCACTATTGAAGTTGTAAATCGCAATGACAGAGCAAATGTGAATCTGGAATATGAGGGGCAGTAATGTCATTTTACAAATTGAAAATATTACTCTGAAGTCCCTTGGGACCTGTCAGTGATTTTGACATTTCGTGGGACCTTAGAGTAATAAACTGCCTTCTGTGGAACTTGTACGTAATTTTCCCTAATAATAAATGCCCAACTATGAATAGAAGAAATATATAAAGAGAATTATAAGATGAGTGAAACACAATATGTTCCAAGGCCTCTAAAAACAACTTCATTACATCACAAGGTAACGGAAAAAAGTCGTCACGAGACCATATGAGACGAGACACAACGCAAACGACATTATAGGGGGAGAGAAACAATATCGGGTGCGGGAGAAAAAACTTTCCCATAATTTAAAACAACCTTCCATTTTGCTAAGAAGAAATGCGTTCAATCACCGAAAGCTTGAGGCTTGGGGGTGGGAGAAGCACCCATATAGTCGTACCTCTTTAATCGTGAAACAGTAAATACGGAACGACGGACATTTATAATGAAAGAAAACAGAGAGAAAACAGAACAAAACTAGCCAGTGTCTTGTGAACTCAGATCCCCAGTTGAGTCTGCACTTCGAGGATGGTTTTAGCGGAGTCCCTCAGCCTTTGTGCTTCCTCGTCGGTTAAGTGAACATTAGTGACACCAAGCACGCCACCTCGACCCAGCTGTGCGGGCAAGCTCAAGAAAACTTCACCACCATCAATGCCATAAAAGCCCTTGGCAAGAACAGAGACAGGGTGGATCTTTCTTTGGTCTCTCAGAATAGAACGGACCAAGCTAGCCACGGAGTATCCTATAGCCCAAGATGTATAGCCTTTCAAACGTATAACTTCATAAGCACTCTCTATAACTTCTTTGTGTATGTTCTCCAGTGTTTCTTTCTCGTATGTTATCTGTTGATTCTGCAGAAAGCTTAGCACCGGTACGCCCCCAACGCTGATGCTGGACCACAGTGCCACCGAGCTGTCACCGTGTTCTCCCACTATGTACGCCTATAATAAGCACCAACATGAACCCCTTGTCATTTTATCAGCAATCAACAATGGGATATAATTTCAATTGATGCTCGAAAAAATTTTTCAGGATGTCCAGTATCAGTAGATGCAAAAAGTCCAACATACAAGACATGTATAAAGATTGTCAACTCAACTTTAAAATTTTATATTAAAAGGTGATGTCAACTTAAATTCTTTTCCTGATTTCCAGCGGTGCTCCCCAATAGCAGTAATACTTATCTCTCTCGACTTCACCTATAAGCTGTCGTATTTCCTTATACTATGCAGATTTTCTGAACAAGGTCTTTATAGCCACATCCCCAAAAAAAATTGCATTTCCCTCTCAATTTCCTATTTATTCCCTTCATTTCGTCATCCAGAGGAACCCGATGACAAAAGTCAATGAACCACTCAACCGCACACACTCTCTGACCTCTATCTATAATAATCCCTCCAATCCTAACTAGCACAGAGTTTTAAAGCCCTGTTTAATCCAAAATACACGCACACACACAGAGTATACTGCTACAAGACAACTGCGTGGTAGTCCCCCCCCCCCCCCAACATTGTCCCTTCTTAATTACAACAAATTGCTAGTATGCTTTTTATTCCTAGACCCCACTTGATAATTAATTTTAATCAAAAACAAGATTAAAACGTCACTCCTAAAAAAAGTTAGTCAACTATAATTAAGACAGGAGAAGTATGCATGGTGGTGTTTTTTTGGAAGCAAAAGGACGGTCAGGTCCGAAAACGCAGGCCATTGAATGTAGGTAATTTAAATTGAAATGGCCCGCCCCCTAACGGCATAAAAACCGCTGAGTCCCTTTTCCAGTTTTCTCAAAAATAAATATAAAAATAATCTTATTCTATTTGGGAGGACATAAAATGATAAAATTACATGTCACGATAGAGTGCTTAAAGTGACCCTTTTTTGTGCAAGGGTAATAAAAACTAAACCCCACGCAACGTATCGCTCATGTGTCGATTTCGCACCTCACCTGATCCATTTACTGAGAAAAACTACATTTTTTTTCTATTTAATTTTGATGTGGTTTAATGTGGAATGAAATGAAAACTAGAATGTGGCTTATGAAACTGTGGCTATTAGGGAGAGAAAGGATCCGAAGTCCCAACTCTCAAGTCAATATTGCTGGTGAAAAAAAAAAAAAAAACTCTCACGTCAATGCCGTGGGTGGAAAAAAATGCCTCCCGCTTCAATGAAAGAAAAGTACTTGAAATTTTTTTAAAAAAATCAAATAATAAATAATATCGCGTATAAAGTGGAAAGGGAATGTTGGCCCAAAAAAAAAAAGGAAAGAAAAGGAAATTGCCTGAACATCCTGAGCGTTGACGTCCAGATGATCGGCGATGAGGAAACGAAACCTGGAAGAGTCCAAGTTGGTACCCGATCCGATGACGCGATTGGAGGGGAAGCCGGAGAGTTTCCAGGCCACGTAAGTCAAGACGTCCACCGGATTCGAAACTATAAGGAGAACACAGTCCGGCGAATAACGAACAAGCGGGGGAATGATAGTCTGAAACAGACTGACATTCCTCTGTAGCAAGTTCAGCCTTGACTCTCCGACGATCTGTCTCGCCCCGGCCGTGACGATGCAGAGATCAGATCCAACGGTCACCGAGTAATCAGTGGAGGCGTGAATCTTGGTACGGGGGAGAAAAGCGGCGGCGTGCTGGAGGTCGAGCATCTCGCCGCGAAGTTTATCGGGTTTGGCGTCGACGAGGACGAGCTCGTCTGTAAGGTCTTGGGTGAGGATGGTTTGGGCGATGGCCATGCCGACGTTGCCGGTGCCGATGACGGAGACCTTGTTGTGGCGCTTCGTGGGAGACGGAGTTTCTGCGTTGAAAACGGGCTTGAAGAAGGATTGGGTTAGGTCCAGGCCTCCCGGACCCAACGATGATCCTGACTCACTCTTGTGCATTTTTCTGTCCTCTGGGAGGTTTTTTCTTTCTCGCAGACAAGGCGGACTGCAAAAGTTGCAGGGTTTTATATGTGCCACTTGGGAGCACTCAACTTAGGCTTTTATATGGAGAGATTAATTCCTATATATGCGTAATATCAAGACTTGTACCCCAAAAAAATATATCAAGACTTGATGGCTTTCCAAGCTTCAACGGTCACCTCTTGCAGTACGGAAGGAATAAATAAATTGTTTGAACTAAAGTTGTACGGCTTGTAAAAGGAAACCGATTAGTTTATAAATCATTCGAATTGTTCTGATTGGAAACATATATAATTATAAAGATATAGGGATAATTAATCCACAGCTCCTTATAGTTTCAACTAATTTTGAATCAGGTCCTTATAGTTTTTTTTTATCAGATTCTTATACTTTCACCTGTTTTTAATTAGGTCTTTGTATTTATTTTTCTTTTTATCAAATCCTTATAAGTTCACCTTATTTTTAATTAAGTCCCTGAATTTTTTATTCTTTATTTTATAAATTCTAATAGTACTATTATATAAACATAAAAAAGTATATATTATTTAATATTAGTTTATAAACAATAATATTCTAAAGATATTGAATTATTATAATGATTTTAATTTTTTCAGCAAAAAAATTAATTGTTCTAAAAAAATTTCCTGAATTAATTAATTCTATTACTTTTTTATTACATAATTATTAATTTAATTTAATTATTAATATGTTATATTTCAGTATTAATCTATTTAATTAAGCTTATATTTAATTAATAAATAAAAATTAAAACTACATGGACCTGATTAAAAATTTAGTGAAATTTATAAGGACTTAATTAAAAGAAAAATAAATACAAGAACCTAATTAAAAAAAGATAAAAGTATAAGGACCTGATAAAAAGAAAAAAAACTATAGGACCTAATTCAAAATTCGTTAAAACTATAAGGACTTGCGGATTAATTAACCCTATATAGAGTTCTCGTCAAGAAACAGATTTAAACCCGAGAGTCCGGTAATAATTGATAAGCATATAACAGCAAATTCTAATGTAAAAAACAATATCATGTTTGTGTTGCTCACTTGTTATTAGATTTTTTTAATTAAATTTATTTTATATGATTCCATGCAAATTCTCTCTCTCTCTCTTGAATGTCAGAATCTTATAGTTTAATCACACCCCTTTACTTTGGTTTTAAAAAAAAAAAAAAGACCCCTCTTTACTTGTTGTATAATGAGTTATAATAATAATAATAAAAAAGAAATGTTGTAATCCAAATAAATAATGATGCACAGATAAGAGAATAAACGCCCTGTGATCTTCAACCAATTTTGCGCTTCAATATAATTACCAGATGTAAGAGCTATAGTTTGTTTCCAATACTCAGCAGCTTATTGCTCTGTTAAAAAATAAAAAATAATAAAAAAGAAAGAAGCATTGTTGTGGATGCTCAACCAATCAATGCATGGGGTGGGATGATTATTTTACAGGTAAGATAACAAATATAAAGTGTACGCACTTATTGCTTGGTCAGACTTCTTGCAGAACCCACGGATTAAGACGGAATTGTAGATTGACCAGAAATAACATCACTGGTTTACATAGTCTTGTGTGCTGGGTCGGTGTTCAGCGCTACCGTATTGAATTCATCAATACTTGCATTTGATTTAAATATACATATTGACGAATATGGAATAACATGGGACCGCATTCCGAGCACGGAATGCGAACGCGAATAACATCCTCGCTTAGTCCAAAACGGAATAAAAAAAGTATGGCAGAAAAAGGGACAAGAAAGAAAAGAGAGAAAAGCATGACATTCTTTTTTTAACAACTAGTTCCAATGAAAATATCATGTGCTTGAGTGAGCGACGCAGATTTCAACAGAGAATAAGATCTTTCGGTTAAAAAAAAAAAACATAGAATAAGATCTTTTTTTTTTTATAACAAATTTCAATAAAATTATATTAATTATTCAAACTTGATAGTCCCGAAGATATTTAGTTATTTACTATATCGATATGCTAATTTTCTAATGAGTTTTAGTTTAGGAAGAAGTAAAGGTGTTCAAATAAACTTGTCTCGGTCTTTGTTATATTGGGATGGGACGGAGTTATCCCGAAATTTTTTCAGAACAGGACAAATTATGATGGGATAAAAAATGGGACCGGACGAACCCGTCCCAAAAAAATATTTTTTATTGTATTATAATTATTAAATGTTAAAAATACAACATATTTAAGGCATATGTAATACAAAATGTTTATATTTGCAGCTTTCAAAATATATGTAGTTGAATGGTTATTATTTATTTAAAGTTTTTATAGTTGTTTATGATTTTTGGAATGGTAAAAATGAATTTTTTAGTTATTATGTTACTAATTATTATTTAGTTGGATTTTTCTTTAAAAGAGCTAAGCCCCAAAAAATAAAAAATAAAAAAAATACTTTCAAAAGGGTTAAGTCCAAAGAACTAAAAATAGAAGAAGAAAAACAACCAAAATCTATTGTAATAGGTCTAATCACAAAACAATTTTTTTTTATAAAAAAAAATAAATGGGATGTCTCAGTTCCGTTTCGGTTCCGTCCCATCCTTACTAGAACTAAGACAGGACATGACACGGGATAGATTTCCTATCCCGTCTTATGCCCTATGAATAGTCTAGAGCAATAGCCAAAATGGACTCAACTAGGTATTGGTATGATCATGCTAGAAATGCCTACAATTATTAGGGGGAAAAAACAAAATCTATACACTAAGTAAGAATTAGTTTATCTATTTTAGTTTTCTTCGTTCATTTAACATATTATTTTAAATTGTTCTTAATATGATCCATATTTAGAGACAGAACAAGAATTCAAATCAAAATGAAGGGTATTATGAGGAAAAATATTTAACGTGAAAGATAAAATGAAATCAAACCTTACGTTAAAAACAAAATAATTGACCATTAAAAATGCCAAGATACTTAAAGTTTTTACCTTTATTTTTCGGACGTTTTACTTTCTTTCTGGCCAAAAGTATTTCCGTTGCCGGGAATCGAACCCGGGTCTCCTGGGTGAAAGCCAGACATCCTAACCGCTGGACGACAACGGACCGTTTGGTGGGGTCTGTGATAAATAATTATAAAATTTTCTAAAGACAGTACAACATATATCCCATCCGTTCTCCAACGAGAGTGCGGTTCTTTGAAGGACCTTGACCTTCAGCGGGGATGAATCAGTTATTCTGTTTCTGACGGAACTCGCCGCCAATCACCAACATTTGGATTGGCGCGTTGTCCAAAATGGAAGCCTTGGCTGAGCTTGAGAGACGTCAAATTCAACTCTTACACCGTATAGCTAAACTAGAGCTCTCCTATCTGCCCCAGCACCACTCCATTTCATCCTCCAAACCAACCGCACGTCCTGTTGACGACACCGAGGCTGACACTGAAGCTCGCCTATCCGCTATTTTGCTCTCCAACGGTGTTGACGACTTCTCCTTCAAGAGGGTCCCTTTCGATTACTACGATTGGCCTCTTGAAGCCAGACGCGATGCCCTTGGCGCCGCTTCTATCGATCATCTTTGCAAAAGCATAGTTTTGGTAGATTAAATTAATATTCCATTTACCTTTCTTCAATTTCGAGTGTTTTTTAGTACTTTTTTTTGGTTGAATTCTCACAATCTTTTATCTTTTTGAGGAGGATTTAAGTGGTAAAGTAGGTTGAGTGAATGGCATAAAGCACTTTCAAAATATTGAGGAGTACTTTGGTGGATATCTGTAAATACGTAAGAGCATTGAGCTATGTCTAATTCTTACTGACCCAACTCAACTAATGTTCGGGCAAAGTAGAACTTAGTATGCCAAGTGGAAGAAATAATAACTAGCGGCAGAAAGGAAATTGAATCAGGACTGTCCACAAGTTTGGGGTTGTTTCCAATTGTTCTAGACAGAGAGAGTGTTTTTTGTAAATAAAATGAATACCGGTGGGCTGCGGCTGCCTTTGCCGAAAGCATCTTAATCTAAAGTAACCAACACAATTAACATTGTATGTCATGTGAGGCTTACCAGCTCTATGTATTTGGATGCTGAGCCGATGAAGCGCCCATTATAAGTAAATTGATGAGGTCGCCTTTTGATAGTCGTGGCCTTGGTGTGGGAACTTGATGAGAAGTGGGTAGCAAGAGGACTATCTACGCACGAACGGGAGAAAAATCTACAAATAGGATTTTAGCTTAGAAGACAGGAGAAAATGAAGTTCAAGGCAAATAACAGCGATTTATTTTGCTCTAACTATAAAAAGCTGGTTTAAAATTCGATAAGTTCTGAAAAGTGGCAGTCTCGTTTGTCTTGTGTGTTTTGATCTTGAGGCAAAGGACTAAAAGGTATATAGGCTGTTATATATGAAAAGGATTGACGATATCATTAATAATTGCAGCTTGATATTTGCGAGACACCCTTTAATTATGAATTGCTAGTTTTATGTTGTGACTGAAGCTTTGTCATTCTTATCAGGTCAATACTCAAGCCCAGTCCAATGTAATAGACTGTAGAGATCGCAACAATTCCAAGTACTATGTTGTTATTGTTCAGGTACAATGCTTTTTCATTCCTCTCAGTCTCTGATTGCTTACTCTTTGACCTGTTATCGTATGAATCTCATGGTTTACAACTTTCATTGATGCAGTACACTGCTAGGTTTAATGCCGAAGCTGTTAAAAATTTTCTGTACTCACTCAACAGTGGAAAAATAGCCAAAAAGAAATTCAACTGTGAGTCCTTAACTGTAACAACCCTCTCGGCACACATGGTAGATACATATAATTCACATGAGCATACTGGTCTGCGAACAACAACAATCAGCTTCATCCCATTAAATGGAATCTTACTACATGGATTGTACAACACTATTGTTCACTATCCAAAACATATGTTCAACTTTCAAAGAGAAAAAAAAAATTGTAATTCAGTATCTACATTGAGATTATGGCCCCTGAATTGTGCGCATCAGTTGTTATCATATGACATTTTCAGTAGAGGAGGGTGATTGTAAAGTCAATCAAGAAAAGTTTCCATGTCTAACATGGATCTTCTCTATTCTTTTCTTTTATTTCTCTCCTTCTATGTTTTTTTTTTAAAATTTTATTTTAAAGATTTCTCTAATACTTTATGATAAGATCTATTCTATTAACATGAAGTGGAGATAGGTAATCTCTTGACCATGAAATGAAAAATTTACACCACAATCAAATTAGCTTATGTAAGATGGAAATTTATAACATTAACTTTGAGGTCTGGCCTAGCTGATATTCATATCCTTAATCCTTGGCACACTGCTTCTGTTCTGTGAAATAGTTTCCAAGTATTCATTTAATCTGCATATCTAGTTATAGGCACATCTCTTTCCTTGTTAATCCACCTGTCCTATATTCATTTAAATGTATAATTTATGGACGAGTCTCTGATTTTTTTTCTTCACCCTCATATAATGTCAAATAGTTTTTATTTGTAACGTATTCCTATGGTTATTATTAATGACACAGTGAGGCTTGCGCCGGAAGAGACATCAACTGAGTTAACTGGTTATGGGCGCAATGCAGTCACTTGTATTGGCATGAAGACAGATATTCCGGTAAGTGAGTCTTCATCCATTCAATTAAATCTTTCTTTTTTGTACTCAAATTTTTATCTTACTCAATCTATAATTTCGCTGTGCGAATTTATTGATAACCGATGCAAATTTTGAAGGGTTACTAATTTTAAAAGAAAAAAACTGGGACGACAATTCTTGAATTTCTCCCTTTTCACTCTTTGGTGATCTAATCCTTCTTCACGTGTGCCTTTGACAATTTTCCAAACATTTCTTCAAGATGGTCTTTCCTGTTTGATGATGTATGTTTCATTGCCCTACACTTGCTTACGGCCAATGTTGCTGAGATGTATGACAGAGGATCCATTAATTTTTTGTAGTGTCTCCTGTGTGGGATATATGATCACAACATCCATGTATGATTTGAATCCTTCTAGCCTTTCTTCCAGCTGTTTGGCTGGTCCACATTTCTAAATTATCTTGTCTGACTAAAATCCAGTCCCAGTCTTAAAGTGACAAGAGTGTCATTTATGTAATATTTGGAAGCGAAAATGGTGTCTTGCTGTATTAATTGTCGATTTGAATGTTATTTCTGTTTCTTTCTTGGACAAAAATAAACTGGGGTTTTAATTTTGTGTGAAAGTGCAAAGTTGAAATCCTTTATTCGTTTTTGGTTTTTTTGAACATTAACGTCTGAGCTCGGATTGTATCCAACAGAAGAAAAGGGGCTCAACTCATCTTACTTATGAGTTGAACAAGGGAGGTGGGTTAAAGGACCAAAAAACAGATGAAAAATTTCTTTTATCTTGCTTTTAAATGTAAACATAATATTATTCTTGATCTTTTCTTCTTATTTATAAATGGGAACGCATCCACTTCTTTATTGACCGGATAAATGGGTTGTTTCAGGTGATCTTGGATGAAGCCATTGTAAAACTAACTCCGGACTTTTTCTGGTTGGGTGGTGGCGAGGTTGATCTGAAGCTGGGGATAAGGACGTCTCAGTTAATCAGATTTATCAATCCATTCATTGTCAGTTGTAGCAATAATTGATCTGGTTCAGCAGGATGTAGTGCAACAGAAAGATGCATGCTTCAATTAGATGGTTCCAAAGGTGAAGTGCCGTTGGCAGCTCTCCATTGGCGATACTATGAGATCTGGATCATAATCTCTGCAATAGAAATGTGATACGCTTTCCAGAACAGGATTTATAATCATCTCGTTCTCACATTTTTCTAGAGATCAACATGCTAGTGGCATCACTGTTTCGCACTTCATAATTTGTATTCGCTGAGGTTACATCACTGGAAAATTAACAAATTTAACGTCATGTTGGAATTTTAATTATGATTGTTAGGTTTCACCGAATTCTGGGGACGAATTGTTCAAAAGTAGCAATACAATAGATTTTTTCTCTTTTGGTGTTAGTTAGTGTTTTAATATGTTGGACTTGTGGGTAAGGCAACATTATAATTGTAAAAGTGATGCTACTTAGTTTTCATACAGCTCTAATATTTGAAAATTTCCGCAGTTCTGCGTGATGCCTTTATTCAGCTTGAATTTGAAAGGTCGGGTATAATTATCCTCCTTGTTTTTAGTTACCCGGTTTCTATAGAACTAAAATTTGACATTATTCATGATAGCAGGACACTATAATGGCACGTGGGACCAGAAGTAACTGTTCCTCCCTATTTCTGCATTAATTCAACTTCGACGTGTTTGAGGGACCCAATTGTCCAACTTTTTACCTAAGATACTTACTAATCCTTCCGCCTTATTTTTAATAAGAAACAATCACTTTTATATAGTGGCGTTCTTAAATATAAAAAATAAATTCTCTTTGTATAAAATTTTAAACTAATCTTTTTCATTTTTATCTCATTAAAGATATGTCACTTGTTATCTTTTTATAATAAATATTTACTTATTATTTTTCATGTACTCTTTTTCTAGTTGTTTGTTATAATAAGTAACTAATGGAGTACTAATAAACAATGTCATAAATAAATGCTATCTTCATTTAAAGAGAAGATTTGCCACTCCACCAGCATAGCAAGGAAAGTGGGTATATCATACATGAGATCTATTTACTCTCAGCCGTTCATCCATTTATTATCACCCAAACATAAAAATCAAATTTATTCATCAAATTTATGTGATTCTTTTCACTCAATCCAACTATTTTAGGAGATAAGGAAGCACGATCCCCAGGCTGACACTTTCCCAGGAAACAATGCTGCTGGAATCTCACAGCCCAGCTTACAGATTTGACAAAGTAGAAAGTAGTGATTTCACTCTTTGACTTAAAGAATGCAATTTATTTATTATAAGCAATTAAGCAGCTAGGACTTTTCATTATGAATGGGTGGTTTCCGGTGTGGTTGAGCATAATCCATCTCTACCATGTCCTCCATTGTGTCACCTGAGCTCGGATTCACCGTTTCTTCTACATGCTGCTGTGCAGGTCCCAGCATTGATCTGGTGTGCCTCCTCTGCCCCTACAAAACCATATGCTTCACGTTATATCATTGTCATCCAATTTCTTCAACCAACCACATTTCACAAACCACAATACTCGTCCATGTCATAGTAGTTTCATCTGCTTTCCTTATATTAATTACAGACGGCTAGCTATGCACGTCCTTTAAGGGCTTCGGTTTGCACAAAACAAATCTTGTACACAAAGGGAATAGATTATGAGAAAAAAATGATCACATAAAACGGCTAGTTCCACATACTAGATGGTAATGTAGAAGAAAACAGATAAATAAAAATCTAAAGAAGGATATTTTTTCTGATGACCTTAAATATTGCGGCATGAACAGGATTACATACTAGAATCGAGCATGGTGAATCTGTCTGAAAAGATGTGGTAGCTCCTGAATGCCGGTTGGAACAATGTCCTGAAATTTATGAATAAAGCCATGATGAATATTTTCAGTAGCGTCTGACAAGTGGCCTCATAGAGGTGTGATGCATCATAACATCAGTACGATCCTTAAAATTGCGAAGGCATATATTATAGGCGGACACAAAACAAGAGACAAGAGGCATGAAGGTTCGAGGGCATTGATCTCACCAATCTCACAAACGATAGTTTCATCATGTGACACTTTCCCTTGCTGCTCTTCGTTCTCCTCCAAGGTGCACGGCCTTGGCTGTGATGCAGCTATAAATTTCTCTAGCACTAAAACCTTGCCCAGATCCTGCAGATAATCCTTAATTTTAGCCACTCTATCAACTCCAAATGTCTCACATATATATATATAGACACACGCACACACTACAAACTTCTCCAGTTCATTGCTTCTTTCTGTTTGATGAATCGGTATTCAAAACCAACCTTATAAGAAAGGGATTTTGCAGCGTATTTATGAGAAAGAATGAGAGGACGGGGGGTGCATGCATGCAAAGACAGACAGAGGAGGAGTAGCAGAAGAGGAACAGAAGACATAATCAGATGGATATATGAATAGTGGTGAGGTTTGCATTCGATAGAGTATAGGGACAGGGCCTAGGAGCTCTCGTATATGTAATGAGAGAACAGGGAACGTATTAAATGCGTTTTGTGTGGGAAGAGGGGCGTTCTTTAAGAGAACATGCAGGTGTTTGGACGATGAACCTTGAAAATGAAAATGGGAATACGGAGGGCCCATCCTTGTCGGCCTTGTCCCTTGTTTTAATCACTTGGGACCCTCCCATCCCCAAGAAACGTTCTATCATAGAACTAGTAGCTCCTGAACCCAAAAATTTTAAGCAGTTCAGCCACAAAGAGACATTACTACAGTAAATTAATCCCCAAAATTGCTGTAAGAATATATCTGCATTTACTTGACGTTTTAATGGCTTAAATTTGATAGACAAGGCTTTTTCACGAGATGGGATGGCGAATAGGAGAACCCAACATGCTTGTTCTTGTGGTATATTTACAATTATAATGTTTTTTCTTTGTTGGAGATGTTGATTTAAGTGCTGGCACTGGCCCATCCATTCTGCTTCAGATGAAACATGACGAGATCACAGTATGTATAGTTTCTTTAGTTCGTGCAGGAAGACTATGAACTCTTCTTCAAGTCGCAGAGACACCCATATGACAGGTCCAACGGGATAACGAGGTGACGTGTCTTGGAGCCTAAGGTGAAACAGGTTAAAAACAGCAGGAAAAACTGATTTCTCTTGTTCAATTAATTACAAGTTCAATCATGAACTAGAATTGCTAGGTCTGTATAGAAACATTTTACTGTAGAATTGTGAGAATACCTGACAATTGGCAAAATGACGAAGGGAACATACGGATATGGGACCGACAGAGGAGGGGGAGGTGGGGAAGAGGGCTCAAGGACAAAGGAGCGTGGCTAAACCGTCACTTGCAATCTTCCTCACAAAGACCAAAAGGTCCTTTGTTTTTTTTTTTTTTTTTTTGTGATCAATCTTTCATTACCTACTCCTGTGTGTTTAGCCCCCAAGGAAAAGCAAGAATACGACCTCCTTCCAATCATGATGCTTCCCTTTGAAAACAATATGTATATACTATCTCCGGTTCTAATTATAAGACCTCATTTATAGTCTAAAATGAGATTTTGTAATTAGGATCGGAGGTTGTATTTATTTATTTATTGGATCAAAAGGTATGAGTCAAATTTCATTGGATGCATAAGCAAGGAAGGAATTAGTCAAATTATAACTTCTACTTCAAAGTTTCATCTTTTGGAACATAATTTCGGTCCTTAATATATAACTTAATTGTTGAGTTGATTTTGGTCCTATATATAAGATGTATTCCTCATAGTTATTATTTTTTCTAAATTATCCTTATTGATACTCCCTTAACTATAATCAAATAGAAGAGAAGAGATGATCTCAATTATAGTGTTTTAGAAAAAACATATCATATTTTTTATAATTAACTAACTTACATAAATTTTTTAATTTAATTAAACTAATTAAATAGATTTTATATTAAGCACCAAACAAATAGTATAGTCTGGTTAATGGTTGGGAAAGAATATTACAAACAACAAAATTGGTTCTTTGACCGTGTCAGTACGTGCGTAAGCCGGTATCACCTCCTCGTCCATTCCTTGGGGTCAAACGAGCCTGCTGTCATTTCTACCGCATGGCCACTTCATTTGAAATTAATCTTTTGCGGGTCCCAATTATGAGGATGAGAAAAGTAAACTACCTTAACTATATGCTGGCCCCGAAAAGGAAGGAAAAAATATGCAAGTAATTCTAGATGAGTCCAGAATTTGGCGCTTAGCATTTGGGTAGAGAATATCAACACTGTTGTGAAAGAATCATACTGGGTGAGAAGGATCAACAACAAGAAATGGGGAGAATCGGGTGCAACGTCGATGGAATTCTTGATGATACAAAGTTCAGCCAACCAATTCCATGGGTAGGCGTATATATAGTTGCAGCATCGCTAGCCTGCCTGATCGGAATGGCCACAGATACTATACTTGGTATTTGTAATCGCAAGTTCTGGTTCCCTTGCAAATATTTCTCTCTTAATGCAACTTCCCTAACCTTGATCGGTGTAGCTGTCAAATTATCAGTGGATTTAGACACCTCCATGCCGCGCCCCTCTGAGCAGCTTGCCAAACTCAGCAGCAGTGCCTTGATCTGCACAATTATGGCTAATTCTATGCCTTCTCTTGGAGCTATGGAGACCAAAGATATGTTCATGAACCTTATGGCTTTGGCTATACTTGTTATCACAGTAATTGTCAATATCTGCATGCAATTAGGCACTGGTGTTATCTATGTTTTCTGGAGAGAACACATCCTGTTAATGTTCCTCATGCTCATATTACTCCTGCTCATGGTCTCCTCTGCTTTGACTGTTCCAACCACCAAACAATATCTGGAATACAAATACAGCAAGAAGCATGAAATGGCAGTGAAAGAAAACTTGGCCCAGACAGAAGGGCCAATCACCCAGATATTTAAAGATAAACTAATGAAATTCTGGATGATGGCTCATACGAGTAGTCCCCAGTTTGTGATGGGGAGGTCACCAACATGTACCGCTTCTGGTGCTTTCTGTCTTCTCAGTGCTATAATACTAGCCGTGGCTATGCTTCGATCCTACCTTATGCCTTGGAGTTTTAGATTTTGTAGAGGTGAGTCCGATTATAAATGGTCAACCATCTTGATTCTGGTGACTCAGAACGCTGCTGTAGGAGTGGGTACTATTGCTCCAGCACTGAGATGGTTCATTGCTATAAAATTCCGCTGCCCAGAGGTAATAAAAAGGAGCAGCCACGAGAAGAAGGAATTCAGAGTGGAAACTTACTGGATAGAGAGCTTACATGAAATGAAAGATCGCCCTTTGAAACTACGAATCCCTGATCGGCATCGCAGGAAGTTAGCCCATGATGCAAAAGTTTTGTTTCTAGACTTTTGCATCCGTGTGCAGAAGGGAATCGTGCTGATCAGCAAAGCGACCCGAATCATTTCAATTTTCCTTGTGAGCTCCATCTTGGCGTGTTGCCATCACTGCAAGATACTGAAACCCAGGTTTGATAAGACTGTGTCAAGTATTAGCTCGGGAACTGTGTCGCAACCTGAGCCAAAGCCAGATCTCAGACGTTTTGTTCTGCATCTTGAAGGGGAGGAAGCACTAGTGGAGGTGATGCTGAAAGAGAATCATGATGCTACCAATCACTGGATTAGGGTAGGAGAAAAGAGAAAACCTAGGCATCTCATGCAACTATTAGAGAAATCATCTGTTTCACAGGGCTTTAAGGGAGTGGGAGCTTTTGACAGTGATAAAGTCCCATCTTTACATCCTGAAGAGCCTCCAAACAGTTGGTCTCTGCCTTTGGTGACACTTACTGCTATTGCAGTCGCACTTCCAAACATCACTAGGGATTCAGTCAAACAATTGCTTGATACTGTTCATGAAGGACTTCACTTTGTAGATCTCGTGGAGAATACTCTGGACAAAGAAGGAGATTTGATTAGAGTAAGAAAAGCAGCACAAAAAGTGTGGATTAGAATTGATCTCTACCGTAAGTGGTTTGGTTTGGATCTGAATAAGCTGTCGGAGAAAAGCCCAGAAGAGACGCTCCAAAGATTAGCTGATACTGCTAAAGCCAAGTACGAGGAATTCAAGATGAAAAACATAAATGTATGCTTAAGGGCAAGCCCATCAGCATGGCCCCTCGAAGTAATGGCAGCGAACTCCATGTACAGAATAAGCAACACTGTTCTATTTAATTGTAAAAGCAAGAATGAATTTGGAAGCGAGACACTATTTGAGGAACTGACTTTGGTGATTGCTGATATATTGGGTTCATGTCTCGTTAACTTACCACATGTTCTATCGGTCAAGTGTGTGAAGGGTGCCATTGAAGAGAGGGAGGACAATGTGCGACACGCCGGTTACATTTTTGGAAAGACCAAGAAGATTATGGAAATGCTAGAACGGAGAGCATTTCCTAATCTGTATCGGAGAGGTGCGATCAAGATTGATGAATGGCGCTTAATCCATGAGCAGAACAGCAGGTTCTTCCCCTTCACTCCATCTTCACCGGAGAATAACACTGAGACAACTTCTTCCGAATCAAGTGACCTGTCTCTGTGCCAGATCATCGTGGGCCCGAGCTAGTTACCAAGGACGAGCTGGTAATGGCATGATCAGGGAGCGAAAGAAAATGGAAGGCACGTGGAAAAAGGAGACGGGGGCAGTAACATAATTCCTATTTGAATGTTAATTGTCTGTAATAGGAACATACCATTACTGTGGTGCTTTCAGCTTACCTTAATGGCAGACGCTACTGTTTGATACACAGTGAATACACACATCAATTGCAAAAGTATGTTATATAAATGCCATAGGTAGAATATTTGCGTGTTTGTGTGTGATGAAGAGATGCAGAGAGAGTTCAGATAAGTAAACCTTTCGTCCTCTCACACGAGAGTGTAGCTTAAAACGTACCAGCAAGTTTGAGTTTCTCGAAATACAAGTGCAGGAACCACACGCAACAGTTTATAATGCCGTCATGTTAATATTAGCTCAAGTCTTACGAAATATTAAAAATAAGAGGTAAAAATTGAGATTAAGATTAAAAAAACCCATTAAAAGAATGTTCAATACGAGAGAGCGCTTGTTATTTGGAATTGGACAAACCTGTGGGTGGGATTAGAAATACCATATCCCAAACCCATGTTCCCACATACATGGATTTACCCAATCCCAAATAACAAGCAATTCATCATACTAAACAGTTTTTTGAATGGGTTTTCTCAATATCAGTCGCAATCCTTACCTCTAATTCTTAATGTTTGATACAGATTACAAAACTGTAGCCATGAATTTGGGTGATTACTTCATCCATAAGAGGCAATCCCGCCGTTTTCAGATTCTTTCTTGTATGATATGTGGTCCAGAGAATCCGAGATTACGAAAATCTTGAAGAGCTCTCTATTCTGACAACTCTAGTTTATGAATGTATTTCTGGGCGTTTTGTTTCTTGAGTTCCCCAAGTTGTCCTTCCATTTTCTTCGGCAGGGTTGTTGTGTTGATTACAGATTTACAGAATATTAAAGGAAAGTAGAACATGCCATGGAACTGTCGAAAGAATTGCAAGTAGCAACGAGTCAGAAAATTTATCCGAGGGGACCAGTTGATTGCTCATCAATCTTGGGAAAAATTGCGAATACCCAAGTTAAATACCCCCTCTATCACATTCAAGTTTAATTTTTTCTCTTATTTTTTGTTAACATAAACCTCGTGAACGAAGACGTTTTTTGCACATCATAAATTCATAATCTATTTCACTTCTTGCGTTCTATTGACTTCAACTAGCCTCTTTTACATATTGCAGCTAGCCAGAAGGTCCCTCTTCCAAAAATAGACGAGGGGCGTTTCATTAAAAAGTTCCCAAAATAATCCCATTTGTCTTTTTTTTTTGAAATACCTTAAAAATACTTTTAAAAAACACTTTTTTTATAAATCAAAGCAAATTACTTTAAATATTTACTTTGTACAATATAAAATTACTTTTAAAACTATAATTTAGTCTTCTCCCAAATGTCTTTTTAGTGGTGGGCGAGAGCACCCATTATATTCTTATCATCGTTATTTCAAAATAATTTGATTTTTTTTTCTCATAAATATGAATGATATTTTTCATCTACAAAGTTATTTCCATTTTAATTCTATTTTGCGTATCAACTGTTTCTTAAAGAAAATACAGAGCCGCAGCTATCGACAAAGCACATGAAGAAGAAAGGTCAGATTGAGCAACAATCCGCCCAACTCCTAAATTTCGGTCTCTTTTACCCGCCTGTAGGTCCTCGATGGCCCAAGCCCTTTCCCTCAAATTTCTCAGTTTCCAATCTGAGATGAAGAGAATGCGATGGTCATATCATGACTATCACTGCAGTATCAGTGGCTCTCCGGTAGCCTAAAATCAAAGGCAAGCAAAACAGAGTAAGCTTAGACACTGAACCTGACATTTAAAAAAGCATTATGCTACATATGAGAATTATGATTCGTTCTCGTTTCCTACCTTTTTTGAGTTGTTAGGATGGAACTAATCTTTCAAGGTTAAAAAAAATTTTTAGATAAAAAAATTTGACAGTACCTCCAAGGGAATTCACTTGTATCAATTCCTGCTTGATGAAGCTCGTCAACATACTGCAATGCCTCCCGGCACTCTTCTCGATCATCAAAGAATTCTGTCTTGTCACCTTCTATTTGGTACGTTTCTTGGCCCTTTCCAGCAACAACCTGCATCATGAATATATCTCGAGTCAGAATCCATATTTATTTGGCGCATTAGTTTGCTAAAGAATGAAATGAGTGAACTCATATTTCCATAAAGGGATTGAAGAACTTACAACCACATCACCCTCCTCTCCCATTGCAACTGCAGCCCGTACAGCCACCCGTCTAATGTCATGCAGAAAAAGCCTATGACCATTTGGAAGAGGTGGGTAGTAGTCATTTTCCCCGTATTTCAGGTACTCCTGCATTGTCCATCCTACCCCAGCCAACATATCATCTAAAATGTCCACTGCACATTAAGTGGATAACATGTGTGAGTTAGGCTTCTCAGTCAATTCCTGATACTAATTATCATCGTTTCTAATTGTGGTATGAACATGCACAATGATTGTCAAAAAGATAAACAAAGACAGAATAAAGATGTCAACTATTCGGAGGAATGATTATTGAACATCTTCTCTATATCTGGCGTATAATGTGGCTGATGTATTAAGAGAATGCATTCAACCCATTTGTATTTAGACCCTAGCACGTTTTCTTTGTTTTTTTTTCCCCTCTCCTTGGTAAAGACCCTGGCACGTATTTCAGAGTACACCGGTACCAATAATTCACAAGAAATGAAAAGTTAACCTCAGCCTCTGATGCTAGCGATATCATTCATTGCATATGGTGATACAAACGATGGTCCAAATACATACATGGATCTTCATCCTTCGGATTGTCAGACGTCAAGATGGTCACATCACTTTTATCCGTTGCTATCTTGGTCATCATGGGTCTTTTCCCTCTCTCGCTCTTGCCACAGCAACCAAACACTACAAAGAGAAAACAAAAAGAGATAGGTAAAACAAGAAAAGATAATTTTAATCCAATAATGTATTCTTGTAGACCTTGGGCATATGCATTAATAAAACGTGCAGCATGAGCATTGAGTAGGTATCCTAGACTGAATTTCAAGATAAGTCAACCTGTGAGATGAATCTGGAATATCATACGCAGAGAAAATAACCATGCGAGGGTTTCATCAAATGATTTTTCGTTTTAATATCTCTTGTTTAAATTAGGGACAAAAATCATGATCGGTACAAGATAATTTCAGTCAGATTATACACCATTATAAATTTCGGCATGCGCTTTAATAATATGCGCAACATGAGCACTTATTGCGTACCATGGATAAGAAGGAATTTTCAGATAACAGTAGTCAATCTCCACTTAAGGTTTTCTAAGCCTCAAGGGTGGAGAAGAATTCGACTACCGTGTAGAGAAAAATAACCATGCTGCAATTTCAAAAACGATGTTTCATTTTGATTCGTTCTTATTTAAACAAAATTGAAGAGGAATTTTTCTACGGCAATTAATTAAAAGGGAAACACAAACGTACCAGTTATAATCCTCCGAGGTCCAAGCTCTCTTACAAAATCAAGCAATCTAGACAAGGCATCAGGAGTTTGAGCACAGTCCACTATTACTCCAAATGCTTGTTCCTCGTCAATTAACTCACATCTGCCAGGAACTGCATCAACTTCTTCAATTCCCCTGACAATGTCCTCTAAAGGTGCCCCAACAGCAATGCCAACTGCCACCGCAGCAAGAATGTTGTAAATATTATGTCTTCCAAGTAAACCTGATGAAATTTCTAGTATGCCACTGGGGGTATTAACCAAGACCTGTGTCTCAAACAGAGAGAGCTCAAACTTTAAGGGATGAACATCTGCATTCTTATTCTCCAGTGCAAATGTCACAACCGGAACTTCTGGATTCCCTTGCGAAACAAAGAAAGTTGCATTTGGATCATCAATGTTGACAACTTTTCTGTTACGTTCAGGGTCCACCATTTTTGAAAATAGTTTAGCTGTTGCATCTCTATATGCCTCCTCAGACCCATGGAGACCCGCATTGTCTCCTTCCAAATTTGTAAAAACTGCAATATCAAAATCAACCTCATTGAACTTTCCTAAAGCTAGTCCTTGAGAAGAAGTCTCCATGACTAGTGCTTCAGTTCCATTGTGAAGCATCTTTGCCATCAAGTTTTGAACTAAAACAGCATCTGGCATGGTGTTCACCGACTCCAATTTATTATCCCCATGCACAAAATGAGCAACTGAGCTCAACATTCCTGTTCGCAGTCCCATTGCTTCATACATGCTTTTTATCAAATATGCAGTGGTTGTTTTGCCATATGTCCCGGTTATGCCGATTGCTGCCATGTTTCTTGATGGATACTTGTAAAAGGATGCAGCCAATGCAGGGAGAATCGCATTAGTATCTTCCACAATCACCAGGGCCTTACAACCTAAGGTCTCTTCTATGTCTATCTCTTCACTCGCCACCACAGCAACTGCTCCTCTCTTGTCTGCCTCAGTTAAGTACATGTATCCATCAGTTTTTTGCCCAACACAGCATACAAACAAATTACCTGGAGTGACTAGCCTTGAATCATGCTGAATTCCTGTAATCTCAATTTCCAAATTACCGGATACCGATATAGGTACGACCTTACTCTCATCCAAAAGCTCAGCCAAAGTAATTTTAAATTTGGGTTCCACAATTCTAGCCTTACTTTTTCCATAGCTGTCAAAATCTAAATCAAATGAAGAATTTAAGGATGAACTCTGACTTTTTTGGACGAATTCACTCACCTCGCCACGGAATTTATCCGAGCCCTCTGCATCCGACTCACCGGAAGTCATTCTGAGACCCTGGAGTTCGTCAATCTCCTCCAAATCAACGACCTCCTCGGGTTGCAGCTCATTAACTTCCTCAACAACCTCATCAGAAACCATCGTCTTCTTCCTGGGATTCGGCTCGAGCAGCCCCTGCTCCACAAACTCTTTACGCTTCATCGCGATAGCTTTATCAATTTCACTGAACAAATCATCCCCGTAACCTTCAGAATCCAGAGCAGTATTGTCCGGAGCATCTTCGACATCGGCAATGGCAGCGAGAAATGTGGACTGGTTCTTCTTGAAATCTTCCTCCTGAAGCTCGCGAGCACGGGCGGCTTGGCGCTCAATTTGCTGGAATTTGGAAACCCCATGACTAGAATCCTCCAGGGCTTCTGGTGGGTCATCATCGGCGGGGTTGGGATAGTACTTACCGTCTGGGCCTATAGCCGAAGGAGTTCGCAGAGTTGGAAATGGAGGAGACAGAGAATGAAGCAAGGGTCTGAAAGGAGCATGTCGAGAATTTACAACGACGAAGTTGAATTTAGGAGAAAGGAAGTGTGGAAGAGAAAGGAATGTCACAGCCATACTGAGTTGCAGCTCAGCGATGAAGTGACCGGGAAAGTCTTGGGCGGGGTTTTAGCCGAGCGCACGGAAGACGGATAGGGGTTTGCACTTGCAGTTAAAGTGATTAGTTTTTTTTTTCAAAAAAAAATGCTGAATACCTCTTTTTTTTTTAAACCCCCGAACGCTGAATACCATCGCATCACAAGGATACTAATAACATACCATGTCTAGTTCTTTTTACGAACCCCACCTCCAAACCAAAAGGTGACAGTTAATTAGAAGAGTTATGAGACGTTTGGATGAAACTAAATTATAATTTGAAGAATAATTTTTAGAAAATAGATTTCTGGGATAATAGATTTTGTGAAAAAATAATTCTAATAAAGGGAGAATATTTGGATATTTGTTATCAGAAATATTTTTTATATGTGTAAATTACTAAAAATGACATAAATTAATATGATAATTACATAAAAAATAAATTTTATAATATATTTTAATTTGAAAGAATAAAATTATTAATAATATATTTTTTTACTAACATAATTAATAGTATATAAGATAACGTAATTAATAAATAATTAATATGTGTATATATATTTATAAATTATAAGATTAAATATGTTTATAAAAAAATAATTGAGGAGTGTTAAAGTCATATTACTGTTGGGATCTATTCTAACAAGTACAATTATGCTCTCCAATTTGAATTAGAAGCATAATGAATTTATTTTTTTTGAAATCATGGTTTTAAGCCCAAAATTATGATTTGTTGATTTCCTTCTTGTTTGGCAAATTTTTGACCCAAAACCATGGTTTTGGCCATTTGCCAAATAGACCTTTAGTCTACATATTATGTGACAACCTAACTACATACTACTCCGTCCCTAATTATAAGAACTTTTTGGTTATATTGTGCTTTTTAATAAAACAGTTAAAATTAGTTAAAAGCAATTAATATGTAATAAATGTAATTTTTTTCCAAATATACCCCTAATAAATGTAAGAAAGTAATAGTGAGACAAATAGAGAGAATTTTGTCTTCAATACAATATATGAAATTTACTATGGTTAAAATAGGTAACAATATATTAAATGTTCAAACAAACTCAAAAAGAACTTTATAAAAAAAGACAAATCCATTCAAAAAAAGAGATTTTATAATTAGAGACGGAGAGAGTATTTAGTAAGGAAAAAAAACAAAGGATAGAAAGCTTGAATGATTAGACTAAGTATATAGGTATGTAATAAAAATTTTATCTCAGACTCGTTAAATATTTGATATGGGTAAATGCAAACAAGCTCTACAATTATATCAACCTGTTTTTTGAACTTTAAATATAACCATTAAACTTATTTATTGTTCCATGTTAAACAATGTAACAGTAGTCCGAGCATATGCGATTTATTGGCGTCAATTAAAAACAAATGACACAGTGACTAGAGACTAGTGATGAAATCAATATCTTTTTTTTATCAATAAGTGAATTTATAATAAAGTATATTTATTGTTTATAAGTATTTTGGTGTTTTGTATTTTATGACTCTGTATAATCCATAAAAAAGCATGCACATATATAAGTTGTATGCATGATATAATCTCTGTATTTATTACCGATTCTAATTATAAAAATTAGCTGACTAATTTGAAAAGATTAAGAAAAAAATAAATTAGTTATTTGTAATAAATATGTGTTGTCTTTTCTAAAATATATTTATTAATCAAATGTATTGGCTATAACTATAATTGTTAAAAGAGCTACATTAGAAAAAATACATAAATATGATAAGCAAAGTGGATTAAAGTCTTATATTTAAAATCAAAATAAAAGTCAAACAAGACGTTATATTAAGGACCGGAGGTAGTAACTATCTTTATACATTTGGCAGCTGAATTTTTAAACATAGCTAAAATTCGTCATTTTGAAATTCAAGTGAATATTACTTGTGTCATTTATATCTAAAAAGTAAATAATGATGTAGTTTTTATTTCATATCATGTGCATGGCACCTTAGCTGTTACTTTGTATCGTTAATAGATAAAAAGAAAATAACTTAATGTGATTTGATATGTTAATTAGCATCCTCATTAATTTTCTTGCATTTAATTATATATTTTTTCATTTCCCGCTTCAATCAATGCAAAGTGCAAATAATAACTCTACAATACAGCGTATGCGTTTTTTCCTTTTTGTCCAAATCGAGTTAGGTGGGAAATTGGTTTATCAAAAAGGGTGGGAAATTGGGAATGCAGAAAAACTTGAACAAAATTAGAATCCATCCTGTCATTTCACCGAAGGCAGTTAAAACATCGAAACTCAAACGATTTAGTTTGGCTTGCATTTTCCAGGTTCCAAATGCGTCTCCAAGATCCTCATTTGAAAAAAGATCAGCAAACAAACAAATGAGACTTGCCCCTGAACGTCATATCCGCTCCACTCTCTAAATTTTCGGACCCAAATTGTGATTCTTCCAATCAAAAGTTTTTTCCGACTTCGTAAAGATATATGGGATTGGATCGATCTAAAACCGCGCTGTTCCATCTGCATTGTAGGTTAATATCTACATTGGATAGATGAATCTGTTGTCTCGTCGATTCTCTGTTTCGTTTGAGCTCTCCTTTCATATATCCAAAGCGTGGCACTATAGCTCTCTGTTCCTCAGGTTTGTCCCTCAATTCTTCCCTAAAATAGGTTCCCGCTGATCTGCTTCTATCTTTCTTTTATTTTCTTTTGGTTAACAATGTGGCTGTGATTTGAAATATAATATGTCTTGTCAATTGTCAAATTCTTAATTTTTGTTTTTTCCGGTGTGGGTATATCCACTTCCGGGCCGTAATTTTATCACGGTTTCGGACAGCTGAGGCAGCTGGAATTAATGAGCTCAAAACATCATTCATACCATGACAAGTTTTCATTTCTCTTTTTCTTTAAGACAACATGATTCAGCTGGACTGACACTGTACACCATGATAAGATGTAGCGTTAATAATCTTGTCATGCTATCTTTCCATATTAGTTTTTAATCTTTATATGCTGGTGAGTAGCCTCCAGAAAAACGAGAAACATCTTAGAGGCTTAAAAAATTTCATTACAGCATTTTAAACTTTGGTTTCTTAGATATCCTTGGTCCCGATTTTGGACAAATTTTTGTCAAGTATCTTTGGATAAATTTCTCACCCATCTACCTAGGATACTAAATTATTTGGATTTAGATGTGCTTACTAGATGTCTTCTTGTAGTAGTGTGCAGGCATAGCCAATCAGAAGGACTGGAGTCCGTGTGTTTAAGATAGACATGCAGTTGGAACAAAAAGAACTGGGAAACAGGGGAGTTGACAGCTTAAATGGTTATCCTGGTGATGTTAACCCAATAGAAGCTTTCAGAGGTACGCTTAAAGATGACCAAGCTCTTAGTCTCTGATGTCTTGATTATGCGTATCCCATCCCCCTTAGCACAACTCTAGATTACAATTTGCTTTCAGGCAGCCGGCAGGAATCTCTGGTGGAGTGGATAAATAGTGTGCTTCCTCACTTAAATCTGCCTATAGAAACTTCAGAGGAGGAACTAAGGGCATTGCTGAGGGATGGATCTGTATTATGCAGCATTTTGGACAAGCTGATTCCTGGTTCAGTGGAAGTAGTAGGACTTTCCTTCAGTTTGCTTTAAGCTTATATATTTTTAATCATCATCATCATCATTTCAAATTGTTTGATTATTCTATATAACTTCTTGGTTTGGTTTTTCTTTTCAGTTGCACTGTCATTTATGTTAGGGTATATTTTTCATATTATATTTCTTCTAAGAAACTGCCTTTTAACTTCAGGGAGGTTATTCCTTGGATGAGCAAGTAAACATTAGAAAGTTTCTACAGGCCATGGATGAGCTGGGATTGCCTGGATTTGATTTGTCAAGGCTAGAGCAGGTATAAGAAGTTTCTTTGTGAAATATAATCTGAAGAAATAATTGAAAAGTTGGGTTTTGTTGAAGAAGGAAGATTGCAATATTAACTAGGTATGGGACACTGGGACTCTTTGTTCACGCTTGATTGGAGGGTTGGCTAAAGAATACCTGGCTGTAGGTAGTCTTGTCACATTGACCGCTGGAACTTGGGAGCATGACATTAATTCCTTTACATTTCTCTCCTGGATGAGGAAACAAGTACTCTCAGTTTGTCCTCTAGATTTGTTTAGGCTTTGAACTAAGTGAGACAGGTTACATGGATCGTACAATATTATTGTGCTTAACCAACTCTTCATAGGGATAGAGACCATTTTCTCAACCCTCCTCACTAGCACTTTCATTAGCCTTCTATGCACATATTTGAACCACCTTAAATGATTTCTTTACCATTTTTCCCTTAATAGATATGTACATGTCCAAACTTTTTTTATCATATAGAATCATTGCAAAATTTTCACTTTTGTTGACAACCACACATTCATCTCAACATGCTCATTTCTGCTACTCAACCTTTTGCTCTTATAATATTGTTGGTCTTATAGCAGTACTATAACTTCTCTTTTAGCTTAGTAGGTACTTTGTGATCACAAAGAACTTATGATGCTTTTCTTGATTCCAAGTACCTAGCTTGTATCACTTACGTAACATCTCCAGCAATTTTACTATTATTTTGTTATATTAATTCCAGATGCCTAAATCTTGTGCTATTGGTTGATCTCTAATTTTTACCTCCAAATCATTTCTGATTTTCCTTTTGTTAAATTTGCATTGTTTATGTTTTGTCTCATTCCTACTTACGCGAAATCTTTCAATTCCAATGTCCATCCCCATAGCTCATGCTTAGAGTTAACCTTTTTCTCCTGAGTCTTGACTCCTTAACTAGAACTTTATCATGTGCAAAGAATATGCATTTGGGGATATTCTTGCGAACATGCTTTGGCATTACATCCAAAACTTGGTCAAACAACTAAGGACTCAAGGATGATACTTAATGTGAACCCATTCTCATTAGGAAGTCCTTTGTCTTGCCTTCAAGTATTTTACACTAATTGTTGCCCCTTCATCCATATCATTTAAAGCTTTAATATAAGTAACTTGGATGCCTTTCTTTCCCAGGGCTTTCCATAGCATTTCTCTTAGGTGCATGATTATAAGCTTTTTCTAGGCTGTTAGAAATTATATATAAGTTTCTTTCTTTCTTTCTTTCCTTTTTTTTTTTTTTTAATTCCAATAATGATCTATCAACCCCTTAGGAAATAGATAGCCTGTATTGTAGATTGTCTTGACAAAAGTCCAAATTGGTTCACTAAAATCCAAGTCTCATTTTGTTAATTTGTGTCCAATCAATCTTTCCCATAATTTCATAGCATGGCTCATAAGTTTTATCCCTTAGTAGTTGACACATTCTGGATTTCCTTTTTTATTCTTGTATATAGGCATTAAAGTGCTTCTCCTCCGCTGCCCTAACATTTTCTTGGACCTCAAAATCTCATTAAATAGCTTAGTGAGTCAAAGAATTCTCTTCTCTCCTACGCACTTTCACACTTCAAAATTGAGTTGCACTGACCAAAAACATGAAACTGAAATTCAATAGTCCCTTGTTATCTGTCTTCCTTTCCAAGTTTTTTCCAATGTTATTTCTGGTATGAGATTATATGCAGGGATCGGTAGGGCCTGTATTGCAGTACCTTGAGGGTTTGAAAACTCATTTTGCTTCAAATGTTAAGAGAGAACATATCCAAAAGCTTTCCAGAAAGAGGTGGGATCAATCAGATCTAGCATACTTGGCCCATGGGAGTGAAGAGAGGCTAAAATTTTCTGGTGATTCAAATTTCGAACATGAAGTTGAGGGTTCTGTCCTATCAGGTATGATCCTTTTCTTATGGAACTGGAACAAAAGGATAGTGTGAGTTTCACTTAGTGGGTAGAGTAGCTGTGATAAACTAAAGCATCATATGCTGATTTTTGTCTGTGAACTTTTCAATTTTTCGGTTTCACATATATTTTTGTGTTTATGTGTTAAATGTCTCAAGTAGACTATGAAGATCACGCATTCAAATTTGTGCCATAACTTGGTCACCTTCACACGTGATACAACTTGAGAACTTTGAACAGCACGGCCTATAGTATTGGCCTAGGGAAAAAAAAAAGGATAAAAACCACAGGCCATTGAAGGTAGTGGGAGAAAACTGGATCTATTCCTAATATAATTCCTTTGTTTAACTATGCCAATGCAATTTGAATTCAAACCTTCTGGTGCAATTTGGTTTACTATACTTATGTTCTCCCTGCAGATGAAGCACATTATGTTGGATCTAAGTCTAAAGAACTCTTACAGTTGAAACGAGGATGGCATGTGGATCTTTCTGATGAAAAAATTATGGAATTACTCAAATCAAACAGTTTAGATGTAAGCCAAAGAGCCACTTGTCCATGTCTATGTCCCCTCTATTACCATGTTTATCATTAAATTGTGTTGTTACATGTTCTGTTGTAAACAAATACATGATCCTCAGGCATTAGTTTTTCACCCCTGCAGAATGCTTCGACTCAGACGCTTTTTAACATAGGAAATAGGATTATGGATGATATCTTTGGAAGAAAGAATGGAGATGTGCCTCAAGTAAGAGCCCAGAGCACTGTCCAATCTCTGCAATAAATATGTGACACAAATCAGTTTTGTTATTCTTGCATGCTTTCACTTTCTTCATTACTGAGCAGTATTTGTATTTTCCTTTTCAATTTGTGTTTGTAGTCTCAGCATGCAGCATTCCTGTTGAGAAAAATTCTTCAAGTGATAGAGTGGCGTTTTTCTAATCAAGCGGAAAGCCTGAAAAATGTAATATATACGTTCTTTATGCATTTTTTTTTCTTGATCTTTTTCTTGATTGTTTTTAATGGATGATATTTATGTTGTTTTGTATCTGCAGCAAAACAGTCTTTTCAAGGTTCGTGAAGGGAAGTACCAACTGAAAATAAATGCACTTGAAACTCTGGCAACAGGAACAACTGAAGAGAGTGAGGTATTTTCTTTTTTTCTTTATCAATAGGGTTGTATGTGTGTCTTATCAAAACTTCTAGTTTTCTTTTGTTACGTTGCCGTATCTTTTGCTGTTGTTAAATTTATTGTCTGCATAATTAATATTAAAGTTGTTTCTACTCTCTGCAGGTTGTCAAAAGTTGGTTACAGCAGTTGAAGGTTCAAACCAATCCCCTGCCCTATCTTTAATTTGAACATGGCGGAATAAGCTATCAATATAGATCCTCATTTCTTTGTTGAACTTAATTCTTGTTATTTTCAGTGTCGTTATAGCTTTAATACAAGCTTATCTATCACTATTCCTTACTTTTTTAGGGCACTTGACGGAGAAGATGTTTGAATATTCGACCTTTTGCTATTTGTAGCCCCTACCAATAGACCACACCTGGGGATTTACTCATCATTATTTGCATATTGAAGAAAAACCAATTATGAGTGACTATCAACTTGGCATACCATTAAATACTAATGCACTGAAGAGGCTTGGCTGTTTGTCACTGCGTTAATTATTTAAATTATTTAATTCATAGTTCTAACGTTAGTTGAAGCTTCTGAAAATTTGTGATACAGGTAATCTTAACATAATTTGTATTAACTACTAACTTGATGCAATTATCTGTATTTCAGTTTGCTCTTCAAGTTGAGAAAACTAAAATGGAGGAGAAAAACAAACTTGATGAGCAGGATGTTGCTCGTTTAAAACAAGAAAAAGTTCATGCTGAAATTGAGATTTCTGCGTTAAAGCAAGAATTGGAAATGGTCAAAAAAGCACATGAAGAGCTCCGTATGCAATCAGAATTATGTGCTGAAGAATGCAAATCTGAATACGAGAAGAGGATATGGGAACTAGAACGTGGTCTTGCTGATGCAGGGAATCAAGCCAACAAATTGGAGGCACTTATGGAATCTAAATCTCTTAGATGGAAGAACAAAGAGAATACCTATCAAAGTTTCATTAACCACCAATTCGGAGCATTCAAGGTTTGTTATTATGTTCACCACCCTTATGGTTTTATTTTTTCAAAACTTGCACCCTTAATCTTTCCTGTTGTACAGGACTTGAGAGCTGCGATGGAATCTGTAAAAGATGATGTGCTGAAAACAAAAAGAAGCTACTCAGAAGAATTCAAGTATTTGGGTAGGAAAGATTGTTTAAAATCGAGAAACGTTTATCATTTATTTATTTTTTATTGAATTTGCATTTACAAGATGTGTTAATATTTTTAGGGATGAAGCTCAAGAGTCTAGCTGAAGCTGCTGAAAATTATCATGTAGTTCTAACAGAAAATCGGAAATTATATAACGAAGTTCAAGACTTGAAAGGTAAATAGCTTTGTTTGCCTATCAGTGTTTTGCATTGAGGCCTATCCCTGAGTTGGCCTGCTCGTGTTACTTTGCTATATTGCTGATCTGCTATCTCTGTTTTCCCCTCCATGTCTCTTTTTAACAAGCTTCATTTCTGAGTAGGAAATATCCGGGTATATTGTCGAATAAGACCCTTTCTTCCGGGGCAAAGTCAAAACCAGACAACCATTGAATTGATTGGTGATAATGGAGAATTAGTTGTCAGCAATCCTCTCAAACAAGGAAAAGAGAGTCGTAAGCTTTTTAAATTCAACAAGGTTTTTGGTCCAACAGCAAGTCAAGGTAACCCATTGTTTTTTGTCTAGTTCATACTTCATAGTAATGCTATTATTTAGTTGTTGTTGTTGGACTGATGGAGTTGATAGTATTCATCTAATGCATCAACCTTTTATGCTCGCAGAAGAAGTTTTCATGGACACCCAACCACTAATTCGTTCTGTACTTGACGGGTACAATGTCTGCATATTTGCTTATGGTCAAACTGGCTCAGGAAAGACATATACAATGGTACGCGATTTGTTTATTTGTTCATATTTTGACCGCATGCATGGTTTCAAATTTCACAAGATATAACTTGCACGATATTTTCTTCCACCAGAGTGGACCTAGCCTATCGTCAAAATCAGACTGGGGAGTCAATTATCGAGCGCTACATGATCTTTTCCATATTTCCCAAAGTAGAAAAGGCTCTATAGTTTATGAAGTTGGTGTTCAAATGGTTGAGATTTATAATGAACAAGTTCGTGATTTACTATCTACAAATGGTCCTCAAAAAGATATCCTTACCATTTTTGTGTTTTATCTTTTCATACTGAGTTTTTGGGAAAATTAATCATTGAGTCTTTAGAGTTTTGACTAAGTCAAAGTTCAACTCGATGCAACTCAATTTTTGTAGTTTTGAATTGTTTAAGACTTATTCCTTGGATTTTGAATCAATACAATTCAATCCCTATATTTGTGACTATTTAAGATGTTAGTCCCTCTATTTCAAAAATAAATTATAAAGACCAAAATTATTTCTTAAATGTTAGGGACCAATGTTTTAAAAATTAAAACCATAGAGAATGAGTTGTGTCCAGTCAAAGTTCAGAAATCGAGTTTTAAATGAGTAAAAGCTAAAAGGACTTAGCTGCACTTAATCAAAGTTCATGGACTGAATTTTAATGGTGCCTAACTACAGGGACCAAATGATTAATTTTCCAAATTTTTTTAAGATCACGCAAGTCCTTCCTCGTGTTTGCACAGAATCACATATGTGGGCATCTGAGTATATGCACGCATAACTTTTTTATTGTTTACTTTCTCCTTGGATTTCAAGGAAAGTCAACGTAAATATTATTCCTTGACTTGCACACACTTGGGATTTGGAATTCTGCCCAACCAAATGGGTTGGTTGTTCCTGATGCAAGCTTGCATACTGTGAATTCAATGACGGATGTGCTGGAGTTGATGAACATTGGACTAATGAATCGGGTAACTGGTTCCACAGCCTTAAATGAAAGAAGTAGCAGATCACATAGGTTGTATTCACAGTTCTGAGATTTTCTAATGTCCTAGTTTCACAATAGTTAACGCTTGAAATTCATAACATTTGTATAATCATGTGATAGTGTTCTTACTGTTCATGTTCGTGGCACGGATTTGGAGACCAACACTTTATTGCGTGGATGTCTACATCTTGTAGATCTTGCAGGGAGTGAGAGAGTAGAGCGCTCTGAAGCCACAGGAGATAGGCTTAAGGAGGCACAACATATAAATAAATCACTATCAGCACTTGGAGATGTGATTTCTGCTCTAGCACAAAAGAGTCCACATGTTCCTTATAGAAATAGTAAATTGACTCAACTTCTTCAAAGTTCGTTAGGTAATGTCACTCTAGATCTTTATTTGATCGTTATTGTATCAGCATGCAATTTGTTATGTTTTGTAACTTGTTTAAAACATAGCATGTCTACAAGTCATACTAACTGTATCTTTTTTCTTTCCTCTTTTCTTTTAGGTGGTCAAGCAAAAACCCTCATGTTTGTACAGCTTAACCCTGACACTGCTTCGTATTCTGAAACGATAAGCACCTTGAAGTTTGCCGTGAGGGTTTCAGGTGTTGAGCTGGGTGCTGCTCGTAGTAATAGAGAGGGAAGGGATGTCAAAGAACTCTTAGAACAGGTTACTTTAAATTTTGATTGCATGTTGCATGTATATTCTAGTTTATGCGAATACTGTCAATGTCCTGTTATCAGTAAACCATTAAGTTTTAGGATGCTAGTCACTCTTGCTGTAAGTGCCGTGCCTGCATAGGTATATGTACGGCGGACTAAGCTCTGAAATTAAATTTGTTTGGTTTGGAAGATAATGAAAGGGGAAAGAAAAAGAAATTATTTTTCCGCTGTTTGAATTACGGAGGAAGAGCACAAAAATTCAAACATAAAAGAAAATTGCGTGTTGGCCCACCTTTATTTTCCCTTAGAACCAGAAGAGAAAAAGTTGAATTTCGTTGGTCATTCTCACTCCTGCGAGGCTCCCCACAAAAAAGGGTGCAACCTGAAGTGCACATTTGGAAAAGCAGATATTTTTAGGTCATTATATGGAAGTGTTGGTTTGCGTAGTAACACGTCTCTTTGTCAATATTACTATGTGCGCTCGTTTTGTTACTGTTTGCTGCCTAGGATGCAGAAATTGCATGCATCAGGAAGGTAGGCTTGTCTTTCTTATCCCCGGCGTGAGAATGTTGTTGGGTAGAAGAATGAAGAAAAACATTCTATTCTTCCTTAGGATTTCTTTTGGAGGCCGGGAACTATTCATGGTTCATTGATGCCTGTAATTGTGAAGTGAAACCATTTTTTATTTTTGAAGTGAAACAATTTGGCTTGAACTGATACTTCACTATTGTTTGTAAGTGACCTTTGACTTGATGATTTTTCTTGCAGGTAACATCCCTCAAAGATGCACTTGCTAGGAAGGATGAAGAGATTGAGCGGTTGCAGCAGCTCAGGACAAATCTCAGTGTTGCTAAACGTGGGATGATGAGGTATGCGTCATCATCTCCACGGAGACATTCCACTGGAACTTCGAGGCATAGCACAAGACTTTCTGGAGCTGGGGCCTTGCGAGTTGGTGAAAAAGCAACTTCTGACATGGACAACTGCTCAGAGTATAGTGATAAGCATTCGGAAACTGGTTCTCATCAGTCAATGGACGATCTCAGGAACAAGCCCAGTTCCCCCCTGTTCAAATCATCCAAAGAAGATACAAGTCAGAATGTCAATGACGACATTGATCTCTTGGGATTTGGAGAGGCAGATTCTGAAGAGAGATTAAGTGATATATCTGACGGTGGTCTTTCAATGGGAACAGAAACTGATGGTTCAATCTGCAGCATTGTGGAGTACACTCTCTTCCCGGAAGCGGAGAAGCCAGCTGAAACTACCCCAAGTAAGAGCACAACAACAGACAACCTGTCAGCTGCAAACAAAGAGAAGTGAGTATTATTATTACTACTAGCTCCGGTACTTAATATAAGAGTTAGTTAGAAATTTAATTTAGTTATAAATATAAGATCTCAATCTACTTTGTCTACAGTATTTATCCATTTTGCCCCCAAGTAATCCTTATAATGATTGCGTATGTTAAAAAGTTTTCATGAAAGGATAATTTCCAAATGCATGATTGGTAGGGGTATTTCAGAAAAGGCTAACTAACTTGACTATTTTTTTCGATGTCCGCAAATTAATTATTTAGCTCTTATATTAAAAACTTAAAGTAATATTTCTCAAGTTTATCTTATGGACGAAGCATAATTACCTTTGTTTTCATTCCGGGTCCTGTAGTTGCTTTGACTTGCTTTCTTGCCATCTTTATTTAAAGCTAACCTGGTAGATTTGTTCTGGTTGAATTCAGATCCACTGTGGCGTCCAAAATTCCCAAAGCCGCAGAAGTTCTACAAAAGGTACCAACAAGATCTTCCAGGTTATCGATGAATAGAAGTTCCTCAAAGGTTTCCTCAAGTGAGTACGCCTAACTACGTATTCTTGGTTTTTACTGATATTCTCCCCAATAAATTACCTTTGGTTTGCTCTCACGAACTTCCTAATCTAACATACGTAGGCATCAAGAAGACGGCTACCGGTAGCTCAACTTCAGTGAAGGCCCCTCCTAAACGATGGCAATGATCAGGATGCCACTTGGATTCTCTAGAGTATTTTTACCGATGGGAATTATTACTAGTACTAGGTGCTTATTATTGTCATCTATAATATAATCGGAGCAATGGCTCACGTTGGCTAGAACCTTGTATTGGATGAGGCGTTTGCAAACTCTAGCCTGCAAGTAGTTTGTATGTTATCATAGTCAATGTTTTAGTTTGAAAGCTCCATCCAACTGTGGCAGCTTTCCCACTCAGCGCCATTGATGTACTTTTTTTTCCGGGGCCATTGATGATTGATGTGCAATCTCAGCATTACAAGTTAAAATCGAAGTAACTTGAAGGTCGCTCGGTTACTATTTAAATTAGAAGCAAAGATGAATACACCCAACATTTTTTAGCAGAAAATGCTTGCTTCTAATATTGGACCCCAGGCCTTAAGCTTTGTAAAGATATTTGCGAACTTTAATATGAAGTTGACTTCTCCTATGGCACAGATCTTCTGCAGATTTATGTATGCGGACTCTGCATAAATGAGAAAGAGAGTGATTTTTGATTTAATTTTAAATCTAAACTTAAGTATAAGACGATAATTTGATCCGCTGACTATTAGTATGGTATCCTTTAAATGAAGCTGAAATTAGATATATTTTAATTTCAAATCCAAGTATTATAATTACATTCTTGTATCCTGTTTTCCTCTTTCCATTTCTTTTCAAATACAGTACATAAAGCCATTTTTTTCATAGGCATGTGTATCTTTCAATTTCAATAAGAGGTAATCATATTCAGCTATTATTAGGTACTAAATGTAGACGCTTCTTTGAATAGGGATTCGAATTAGTTTACTATGTTATGAGGGACTAATACTTTTTATTAGATCTAATTTTTGTTGGTACATAAAGCCAATTTTATGAGACTAGAATTTCATCCACCCATCCTATGGACCAAAATTTTAGGGGAAAAAGAAAACAGGCGAATCAGGGCCACAGTTTTGTTCTAACATTAACAGATGTTACATATAGATTAACTAGACAACCCAACTCCATCAGAAACGCGCCTTGGTCCGGTCGTGATCTGTTCGGCTACAGGATGATGACTGAGTCAGATCAACCGTCTTGGTTTTTGACCCAATTTATCTTTTGAAACGAGTCCCTTTATACTAATCCTGTATTTCTTACCCCAACTCATACTCACGTACCAACCACCCTCAAGGGGAACTTTCTGCCGTGTTCCATTAGTTTTGTCTTCATTTGAGTTCATTCGAGTTTAAACACATACATGATTTGATTTTTTTTTTTTTTACCAGCAAATACATGATTTGATTTATGCTGGTTTTTTAAAATATGTTTATTTTAATCTGAATCTGAATCCAATACTCTACAGACACATACACACTTCAAGAAAATTCATTATCAGTTTATTTCCTGTCTTTCGCAAAATATCCTGACACAAACAGGTGTCTCATTTTCTCTTCACCGATCCTTTTTGTTATTTTATATGACCTGACAGATAATAGAAAATGAGAGAGAGAGACAGACACAGCTCAGAGACAATATTAAAAGCATTGTAATATTTAATCCTTAGAGGACTTGAACTCTTCTTTTGTTCACGTTGCTGTTTCCTACATCGGACTTGGCATTTTCTTTTAAGCTGACAAAAATTCAATGGTCAAATAAATTGGTTTAATTTTAATGGATTGCTAAGTAATATAACCTACATCTGGGCTTCTTTTTTTTTTCGAGATTACAAAATCTTTGAAAGAGGACCTCGCCACTTCCTCCTTTTAGGGTTAGATTCTCTGATTAGAATAAAATATAATTTTAAAAAGTTGGTAGGTTCAACTGGTAATAATTTGTCAGATAAAACATAGTAATTCTCACAAACATAAGTTTTTTATGCATAAAATTTATATCGAAAAATTATAAAATTTGAACCTCGGGATATTAAAATAATTTTAATGCTTGTATCGAAAAATTCTTTAAAAAATGAACATATCACATCAAAAAATGAGACCGACAAAAAAGGATGAAAGTGAAAATTTGCTATTAGAAGTATGGTTGATAAACAATATCATGTTCATCATTGAATTTCATTATACACATTAACATTGATTAATTATTCAGCCGTTAAGTTTTATTTAGTTTCACAAATCGTAGGCTTTTTTTTTTTTCCCACCTAAAATCGTGGGTTATATTTTTACTTTTCAGTTGCTTAAAAATTAGGAAAAGCCTGCCACGGCAGCCAGCGGGTACTTGAAACAGGGAGCCTGCAAAACGTGAGTATCAAGCCACCAGCGTTTCACAATTTGATTTTCCCAAAAAACAAAAGTTAGATATAATACTATTAATAAAAATAAATAGGTTAATTAATGGATTCAACACTAACGTTCAACGGAATAAATTTTTTTTTTTTCATGGATGGGTTTGCCTTCAAAACAAAACGTTGCATAAGAATAATAACTAAGCTTTATTGAACTTAACTAAATTTCGATGAGCAAATTATAAATTCTGCACCCTAAAGGGAAAAAAACATATTTGGCAGATTTTTTTTTTTTGGCATTAAGGGAGATTCAATTTATTAAATTATGTCAGAGTCAAAAACAGTGATCAAATTATGCATGTAAACAGCCTGTCAAGAGAAATGGGTGTACATTTTTTGCCTAAAAAAATGTGTTATTTCCATGAAATATAGACATGTCATCCATATCATTCATTGCATACCTATTCAGAGCAATAAATGAGAAATAAAATTTAATTTATGATATTAATTTTGAGTTTTGACTTGCAATAAGTATTTTCCTTTGTACGAGCCTGGATTTATTTAAATTTTCAAATTAAACATTTTGTATTCATTTATTCATATATCAAAAAATAACAGCAAAGCAGTATTATAAATTTCATTTTCTAAATTTAAAGAGGCCAGATTAAAATTTTAATTGTAGAGTTTATGCGCACTTTCATTTTCGCTTTCAATCTTAATTTTGTCACGAGTTACCATTTTTTGATAAAGAAAAATGCATTAATATTACTAAAGTAAAAAAAAAAAAAACTGCGTTTTTGAGGAGATCAGATGATTGGAGAATTTGGAATAGGGCCTTACGTGTGAAAAGCCTAAAGAAAAAATGGATGTCGGCGGAAAATACAGAAAGGCCTGACAAATCATCATGCACGCGGCAAAGCAAAGTGAGGGTAATAAGAATTTTTATTTACTATGTAATACAATTTTGAATTTCAATTAGCAAAAAAATTGAAATTGAAAATTCTAATATTCGCCCAAGAAACACTAGAAGGCGAAGACCAGGAATTCAGGACTCAGCTTACTTTCTTGAAAGCATTTTTAATGATAACTATAGTTAAATTTATATGACAGACGCCAAAATCACAACAAGAAACGAAAGATCATTCACTTTTTCCTGACTTTTGACTGAATCGAGGTCGAGGAAACGCTCGGTTTGTTGAGGTACTCGATGCTTATCGGGTTTCCTCCAATTCCTCTTTAAATTCATCTTGCTTTGATGCATATGTATGCTCCTTGCTTGTTACTTGAGATCTTCGATTCTGCAAAACTAGTTCATTGGCTGCTTTCACAGAGGTATGGTTGATTTTTTGTCATTTCAATGCTGGACTGACGCATTTTACTTGAATTGATGTTTTGAGCTTCACAGGGCTGGTTTTATTATTGGGTATTGACAATTGTGGAAGCAACGGTGAGCTGAATTGACCGAGTATTGATTCGCTTCCCAAGGTTGGCTCTTAAGTTGCTCTAATGCTGAATATTCAATCTCGTTCTACTTATTCGATGCTAGTTACAGGTATATGCTTTGGGTAGCTATCGTCACAGCCAAGTGCGAGGAGTCCGCCACCCCCAACATCGACTGGGAGCTTAAAAAAGCTTCAAAGTGACATTCAATTATGAAATCTTGACGCGTGATTCTACCATCGTTTCCGAGTACCGGCCTGCTCGGGAATTGTTTTTCTATTTCGTGATATTTTTATTTGAGGCAACTGGGAAATCAAAATATGTAACACCGTCAACTGAAACCTTAATAACAAATCCTACTGTAGTTTAATCGGTAATGGGCCTTTTCAGTAGAAAGTTGTGATTAACTCCACTTATGTTGTGACTAATGGGGAGTTTGGTAAATTTGAAGCATCTACGCTAACTAGTAATCTCCAATATATTCTAGGTTTAAGATGGGGTGTGATTTTTCCAAGTTATCAGCATGCTGCTCGGGTATAGAGCAGAGTGGTCCAGTTCCTGAAGCAAACATTGGTGGTAAGTTTTGGTATGTGTGCATCTTTTGTTCTTACTACCATGAGAGTGCTGCAGTCACGGAGTTCTGATGTCCTTTTCAGAAAATGAAGAGAATTGTGAGTCCACTGATGTGCCACCATTTCAAGAATATACAATCGATCAGCTTAGGAAGGCTACCTCTGGATTTGCCGCGGAGAATATAGTTTCTGAGCATGGAGAAAAGGCTCCAAATGTGGTTTATAAAGGGAAACTAGAAAATCAAACACGAATTGCCGTCAAACGGTTCAATAGATCAGCCTGGCCTGATGCCCGACAATTTTCAGTAAGAATAAGTGGCTTTATGTGCCAAATTTTTATATATTTGATAAAGTTGTTTTGGTTAAGCTTTCTTTTACTCTTCCGCATTTCCCAGTATAATGATTAATCTTTTTTGTGTCCTTCTAAGGACACATTGAAGCCTTTTGTGTGGTGGGGAATGTCAAAATTGAATATTATTCATTTTGTATGTACTCTTGTTGCCTTTTACACATTTGTGTCTCTTTATCTGCACCTGGTGAGTGTACCATTATTTGATGGAAACCAAACTGAAAATGCTATTGAAATGTTATAATTCTGCCAGAGTATAGAGTCTAAGCAGAATTCTACAAGTCTGAAATTGAAAATGGAAAAAAAACTAGCAAAAAATCTGGCACTTTGAGAGTCTCTTCCGAATAACCCATGGGTTAGTTATCAGCCCTGCTCATATTTACAGAGTGAACAATTTTCTGGCCCTTGAAGTTTCAACTCACCTTCAAGGTGGCAAGTCAAAGTTGGAATCCACAGCTTCTTCCTAGATAAATCAGCCTTAGGCTGTTCTCTTCATATGTCCTCACAAAATTATCGGATAACTTAAGTTCATGAGCAGCAACTTCTCCTCGATCAGAAACAACGATCTCCACCTCATGCTGTATAACGGCCAATAATTGTGACGAATAGACCTTTTCATATGATAGTAAGCCTTTTTTGGTGTAAGAATCTAACGAGCAAAAAATGAAATTAACTTCTGCTTTATGTCAATTACACTCCATTTCC